CAATTTAAGGGACATCTGCAAAAACACTCCTGGGGCCTTAAGGTATTAACTTAATGAAAGAAACCTGGAGGCATTCTCTGCAAGAATTTTGAGCAATCCAAAATTAAAGTGAGAACAAGTCAAAGCCATATAAAATGACCATATTACCTCCATCTGGCTTTTGGAAGTATGGAGCCTGCCCCAGATGTAAATTAATCTAACCTTTAGGCGGAAAGATAACACCAAACACCGCCGACGCCTGCTGTCTGCATAGATCACGCGCCTAGCAAGGCTAAATTACATGGGCATTTCTGTGCTGCTAGCCACTCAAGGCCCTCAATAATAAGAGTAGTTTTAGCAGCATGGTGTCAACTTCACCTTCTTTCTCTTTTCCTTTACCATCTTGGACTTGGATCGTCTCGAGCAATAGCTAAAAACCCGTGGAAAAGCGGCAACACCAAACAAAGCTGAAATGGCCATGAACAGAACTGCGTGCGCCAGGCATTTTTCTTTTTTTTTTGTTTAGACAGCTGACGGCCGATAATTCGGACGAAATCCCTTCCTGAACGGATGATCCTCTCACGGGAAGGGATTTCCTCCGGCGCACGATTCGAATCAGCGGAACGGCGCGCGAGTGTATACATGGGCCGGATAGTTCGGATCGAGGACGGGTCCCGGCTCAATTCGAATCACAGCTGCCCATGTAAACAGGGTAGATAATTCGGACGAAATCCCTTCCTGAACGGATGATCCTCTCACGGGAAGGGATTTCCTCCGGCCCACGATTCGAATCAGCGGAACGGCGCGTGAGTGTATACATGGGCCGGATAGTTCGGATCGAGGACGGGTCCCGGCTCAATTCGAATCACAGCTGCCCATGTAAACAGGGTAATTGTTAGTCTCGCCGGCTCCCCGGTTCGCGTCCTCCCGAGCCGGTCCGGTTTGCGTCCTTCCGGGCCGGTCCGGTTTGTGTCCTCCCGGGCCGGTCCGGTTTGTGTCCTCCCGGGCCGGTCCGGTTTGTGTCCTCCCGAGCCGGTCCGGTTTGCGTCCTCCCGGGCCGGTCCGGTTTGCGTCCTTCCGGGCCGGTCCGGTTTGCGTCCTCCCGAGCCGGTCCGGTTTGCGTCCTTCCGGGCCGTCTGGTTTGCGTCCTCCCGGACCGGTCCGGTTTGTGTCCTCCCGAGCCGGTCCGGTTTGCGTCCTTCCGGGCCGTCTGGTTTGCGTCCTCCCGGGCCGGTCTGGTTTGTGTCCTCCCGAGCCGGTCCGGTTTGCGTCCTTCCGGGCCGTCTGGTTTGCGTCCTCCCGGGCCGGTCTGGTTTGCGTCCTCCCGAGCCGGTCCGGTTTGTGTCCTCCCGAGCCGGTCCGGTTTGTGTCCTCCCGAGCCGGTCCGGTTTGCGCCTTCCCGGGCCGGCCATTTCACAGGTGATGAACCGAGCCCCTGGCAGCCGGCGCTCAGCCCAGATGGTGTGCGGGCACGGTCGCCACAGGGCAGGCGGTGGGACGGCCGCTCAACAGACGCCAGTTGGCTTCTCTCTGCCGCTCTCCATCAGACGCCAGTTGGCCTCTCCCTGTCGCTTCCCATCAGACGCCAGTTCTTCCTGCCGCTTCCCATCAGACGCCAGTTGGCTTCTCTCTGCCGCTCCCCATCCGACGTCAATTGGCCTCTCCCTGCCGCTCTCCATCAGACGCCAGTTGGCCTCTCTCTGACGCTCCCCATCAGATGTCAATTGGCCTCTCTCTGCCACCCTTCATCAGACGCCAGTTGGCCTCTCTCTGCCGCTCCCCATCAGACGCCAGTTGGCCTCTCTGCGACGCTCCCCTTCCGCCATACCCCTCCCGAGCGACAGCAGGGGTTGCGTCATCCCGCGTACCCCGGGCCCCGCCTCCGGTCAGCGCGGAATGCTCCAACAGAGGGTTCAGGCAGGCCGCGTGGCCCCTAGCTTCGCCCGCTGCGGCCACTGACCACTGGTCGCAGAAAGCCGGGAGAGCCCGACGACCAACGCCACAGCATGCTGGGCTTTCTCGACGCACAGAGCGGCTTGGCGGAGGTTCACACGGACCCGGACACGGACAGCGGTGACGGGGTGACTCCGCCGGCACTCGGGATCAATGGTAATCGTTGATTCGCTCCACCTGAAGCGCGACGATCTGACCCGCCTCCAGAACCTCACTGACCAGTTCAGCCACTTCGCACCAACCTAAACGGCCTCTAGAAGCCGACACATTTTAAGCGTAGCCATGCTTTTCCATGCTATCCAAGCGCTTATCATTGAATATATGGTAGACATAGGCCAGTACGATCCACAATCTACGCTTGAATGGACCACGTGTGCGAAAATCAGGCGCGCGGTACCAATCCAACAAGCCATGATTTTATTGTCTGGAGTCCGCGACTTCCTTCTGGTTTGAGTTAAACCAAGAAATTTTACCCACACTTAGCGTACAGTCTTCTCATACTTCATTTATTTTTCGATCTCCATGAGAACGTAGGCAACACAAAGAACAAAGTTTCCACACAAAATTATTCTCGCAACGACTGCACCATGATTCATCACCAAGGGCCACGTGGTACTAAGGAGTGCTTCCATCCCGTGCATTCATACGGCTGGTATAGCTCTACGAAAAAGCACCGCTTCTATACAATGTCAAGACGCCCGCGCCACACAGCCGCTCAAAATGGGAAAACTTGGCGAGGGTTCATATGCACGGCATACAGCAGCTCGTGCATTCTATAGCACCAAAGCATCTTCGGTAGACCGTCTTTTACACCCATGTGCTACAAGGTGGTTGATGTGTCAGTGTGGGCGTCATTTCATTTGTTCCCAGTCAGTTTATTTTCCCACCTTGGCTTCCAAAATACACAAGCTCCGTAATATGTCGTCTTCATCAGCACGTCGCAAAAATGGTACCCACACCGCTCCTAATAATAAGTGCATGGGCCCATTGTGGACTTATTAGAAACATGAGCATACGTGATGGCAGTAGTTGGTAACAGCATTTCGCTGGCTAGAAAAAAATAGGTGCATGTTCAGCATACCACGAGCAAATAAGGTCGGACCCGCTAAGGTGCACGACCTTCGAAGAAACCAGCAGCAATGGATGTAAAAGTAGCGGAGCCCATTCTGCGGGGGCGGGGACAGCCACGGGGGATCAGCTGCAGGGCAGAGACGGAGGCAGACGCGCGGGGCGAAATGAAGAGATCAGTGGCAATTAGAGCCAAATTTGCTGCTAGGTCTCGGCAACCAGAGTTCCCGTCCGGCTTCTCCGTAAGTCTCCGATCGTCCGCACCAGGACAGGACAGTCAGTTAGTCCGCACCAGGATCCAAACCATTCGTTGCCAATTGGCATCCCCATTTTTAAACGGGCTTGAAGACTTTCGCACATGAGCCTCTTCAGACGCAGTTACAAAAATTCACATGCTAAGCAAACTCAGGCGAAGCTCGCTCTTCCTCCGCTTCAACCGTCAGTGGATGACCTCAGCCCACATTGGTGCGTCCTGCAGCTCGGACCAAACTGTTGTCTCACTGCACCGCTGCCACGCAGAAGGCATTCCACCGCTCAACCACTCCACGTCAGTGACACACGCACCGCCGGGCGTGCCGGGCGTGCCGGGCGTGCCGGGCGGGCGGGGCGGGCCGGGCTGCCGGGCTGCCGGGCCACAGGCCGGACACTGCGGCCGCGGCACAGGCCGTTGACTCGTCCCAGACGACCTTCGGCAGGTGCCGGCCGCCGCGGCGCCGCGTTTTATTGCACCGTGCGTCGATTGGGCGGGTCGCCTGGGGCCGAGAGCGTGTACCTGACCCGGCGCGCAAGCGGAGCCCGGCACACAGACCGGGCGGGTGGGGGGGGGGGGGTGGGGGGGTCAGCGCGCGCGAGCATCGCACACACGCGTTACGGACACTCCGCGACCCGCGCGCTAGCACTTCCTCCTGCCTACCCACCACTCAGCAGGTGTCCAGGAGTTGAAAACCTTGCCCTGTCTACCGCGGCACACGCAACATAGATACTAAGAGCCTGTACGCTACAAAGCTGTAGCTTTCCCCCGTAAGAGATGGGAAGCACACCAGGCGAGCCACGGGAGCGTGACGATGAGCATTGGAAGGGGATGGGCAGGTCAGCACCAAGGCTCGTAGTGATCCTGTGGATACACATGCACGCATGGTGTCATTGTTAATAGCCAATGCCGACCATCGCTACCATCGCTGTGCATTTCCGGCTATTGTTGGTCACAGGGCATTTCCGGCTCACTAATATGTGGGATATTATTGCTCCGAAACACGTACAATACTAGAGTCAATTACTGCGTTGCCATCTCCCCCGCCTCGGTGAGGCCAACATAGCGAAAATATCCTCCGGCGACGGCGTCGTCCGCGGCAAGCCCGGCGAGCACCAGTGCCGTGCCACCCCCCACTTCGCCGCCTACCTGTTTTCGCCAATCCGATCAAGTTCAAGGTTGCCGGCGCCCAGGCCCCCGCCGCGTCAGGGGCGGGGGCCTGGGCCGAGAGGGGAGAGGCGGGGAGGACTCGTACACGGCTGGGACGGCTCCTTTGTCTTCGTCGGCATAATGGTCAAGGTCTCGACAAGCGTTCTGCAAAAACCGTCCGGCCTTCGTCTCGGGATTTCCACAGAGCCTCGGATGGAGGACGACCCTTCCGGCCGAAGGGAACGGTTCGAACGCCGCCGTTCCGAGTCGACCGACAGAGGACAGAGGGCCCTGCGCAGCGCTGCGACCCCGGCAGCGGCGGTGGCGGCGAGACGTCACGTGTCGCGGCGTTCCACCTCAGCGGCCAGCGATGGGCAAACCGGCCAATCACGGTCCACGCGGATCCTGACCAGCGGTGCGGAGGGGTGAAAACGGGCGGGAACACGCTCATAACTGAACGGCAACACGCTCAGTCCGTCCTCCAGGCAGTTACACGCTGTCACCGCACGGCCGGACACCTGCGGGCCGCGGGGAGGCGGAGCACGCGCGGGGGGACGACTGGTGGGACGGAGCGGGCCCTCCCCCGCCATGCAGCACTCACCCCAGGATGAAGAACTCGCCGGCCATCGTCATCAGAATGGAGAACCGTCGCAGCACCGTCATCATCGGTAGACTGCGGCAGAGGGCGGCATTGCAGATAACACGGCGGCGCTCTGCCGGCCAGACCATGAACAGCACGCTGGAGACCCGGCCGGCCGCCCACGAACGCATCGGTGTGGCAAGCGGCGACTTTTACCGTAGCTTTTGTGGCGAGGGAAGCTCAACTCGCATCGCCCGCGAATCAATGAATACTAATTCAAAGATATAACTTCCACCAGCATATACGAACCTCAGACAATAAAAATATACATATACATATAAATATGCAGATGAATATCTTACTAAATATATGAGTAGACATACCAACATAATACGGATGATTGTTAATTGAGTCAAATTAACCTTACCACTCGCCTATGCACATACAATGAACGGCTAGTATATTATAAGCCGCTCACAATCCTACGGGTTGCTTAGAACCTCATTTGTTAGAATCGTATCTGTTGTTGCTTAGAACCTCATCCATGCCTCATTTATAGATCGGGTTTCGCTCACCTGAGCTGCTTTGTACTTCCGAGACCGAAGACGAGATTCCCCACGTAAATAGCCGGCAAAGGCCATACCTGCGGACAGAAAAACCACATGAAATCACGCCAGAGGTGTCGCACGGATAAGTCATGCTTCGCGGTTCATTCAACGACAGCGAGTCGCACAAAGGGAGTTGTACGACGTTCAACGACAGCGAGCCGTACAAAGGGAGTTGTACGACTATCGTCGGCACCACATCTATTGGAAAGACCGGTGTAGCCGGATGCCGCCGTCCTGTATCACCAATTCAATACCGAAAGAACAAGCGGAGCTTTTTCCCAAAGCGAAAAAGACTCGACTTCTGCGGTTACATCGGCTGGCCTCATCGCAAGGTCACGACCTTGTGACGCGCGTTAGCGGTGCCCTGAGGAGCGCACAGAGCGTAACGAGCCAGTCAGTTGTCCGTCGGGTGTTGCCTTCTGAGGATTCCCTTCGGCACGCCATCTCCTAATGAGTCACCTCGCCCGCGGCGGTGCCCTTCGAGCCGCCCAGCGGCAGTGGAATGCCCCGACAGTCATTCATGAAGGGCGGGACCCTCATCACCTGCTCAACGGAGGGAACTACTGAGCCGCCTACTTCAGGAGGATGCCACCAGAGCCGTCAACTTGAGGGCTCGTGAACCACGCACCCATCTAAGGTGACCCACCCATCAGGCATCGTCGCCTGCGCCTGAGGGGAGGGCCTCCACAGACACTCCTTTTACGATAAAGGGCTCTTCAGGCACCCAATTCGCGGCAAAGGACATTTCAACCACATTCTTTACCACGAATGACCGCCAACCCATTTCAACCACCGTTCTTACCGACAACGACCGTCAACCCACTATCTTTACCGAGGGATTACTTTATAGCCAAGCCAGCACGTTTTCAGGGGGGGGGGGGGCTCCTGCCCGCCCACCGCGGGTAACTCCTGAGCACGGGGCAGACCGCTTCCTGTTGGTGCTTCGCAGCACAACTCGCGAGTCACCACGCGGAACGACTCCCGAGTCGACACGCGGAATGACTCCCGCTGAGTCACTCACCTTTCGCGGAATGCTCCTGTCCAGCTTCGGGAACGAGATGACGCCGGCGCAGCGCAGCAGGCCCAGGATCAGTATGGTGGCCAGCATCTGCCGGACAGCAGGCCGCTCAGCGAGGGGCGACACTCCACTCACCGCGGCCCGGCCTGGTCAGCTCGCCGCGCGTGGGGCTCGGCAGGCTGTCCGGGCACGTCCGCGTGAGTCTCCGCAGCGACGGCAGGTTGTGGACGCCGCAGACGACCACGCCCACAGGCCGGATGTGACATGTCAACATGCGGGACGAACGGGACCCACTCGCGATTCTGTCCGGCCAGCGCGCAGGAGGAAAATGGTCCGTTGAAATGGACGGGCGTTTGTTGGAAGGGCGTTCCGAAGGGGCACCAAAATGTCCAAAATGTATATATATATATATATATATATATATATATATATATATATATGTATATGCATAAGATATACATTCATAGATACATACATATCCATATATGTGCATATGATGCGGTCAGAGGAACATCGAATAGTGGGTCAGCAAGGGCACCACTGCGCCGGGCCTGTACCGGCGGCTTGACCCTAGCCAGTAGGCGTGGGGCCGGCGCCGTCCCGCCTCGGCCCGGATGTTGACGCAGACACCTCAACACACTCGCACCTATGTTTAAGCCATCCACATCGAGGTCGTTGCACTCTCGCCCGGCGCCGCACCTGCCCCGTTAACATCACTGGCTATTCGCAAGAGGTACGCCGGTCATACTCAGCCTGCTAAGACCGGTTCATGCAGAGCCATGCCTCGGGTTGAGGCGGCCCACGGCTCGTGTTTGATGTGATAACTGATAGATAGCTTTGCTAAGCTCAGATAGCTCAGATAGCTTTGCAATGTGGCCAATGATCGCTGTCGTCAGGAGTCCGCTCCCCCCGCCCCCCCCCCCCCCCCCCCACCCGACATAGCTCACAACAGCCTCTCGTGAACGAGCGCCGGACAGCTCTCGCGGGAACCATCAGGAGGCCAAATCACCTCAGCATGCCCATCCCTCCCTCCGATGATCTGAGATTGAGGCCGGCACCGCAGCCCAGTCTCAATGGCTAGTGATCGGCCAAGCGACCCACATATCAGGGCAAGTAGGCTCTGGCCACTGTCATGTCTGCCAACACAACCCACGGTACTGATGGTACCGTAAGCCGCAAAAATGTCAGCCAGAAACCCAGCTTTGTTCGGGAGTAGCCAGAGTCAAATCCGGATAAAAAAACAACTCGGTGAGCCGGCGCGGTATCTACCGTACGTGGGTCGAGGTGGCTGGAACTGAGTCAACTCGGTGAGCCGGCGCGGTATCTACCGTACGTGGGTCGAGGTGGCTGGAACTGAGTCAACTCGGTGAGCCAACGTGATATCTACCGTACGTGGGTCGAGGTGGTTGGAACCGGGTAAAGTCGACTCACTGGCACCACCGACGAGGCAGTATGGAAAGACGCATAACCAACACAACAACGCGCCTTTCAGACTGCTCACACGTACTTCATAGCGTATATCGCACGCATCATATTTTGTCTTATCTTCATACTAGGTATATGCATAGGGATATATATACACACACATATTATATATATATATATATATATATATATGTATATATATTTCCGATCATTCTTCAGCCCCCGATATTCACGGGAATCCACGTCATTGCGACAGATCCCGAAACCAACTGCCGCGTGACGCCGAGTACGAGTTTCCTAAGGCTGTCGAGCAAAAGGCTGTCCAATCTTGTGGCAAAATGTGTCCACTGAACTGGAATTGCCGTCTTGGAGCAGTCAGGTTAAGACCTTCACTATGAGTCACGACTGGCACGAACACTGATCGGAAAATCATGCCCAGAAAACGTCAAATTTTAAAACGGCGTGAATGAGAGAAGTAATTTTAACAAAATTACTGCTCTCATTCACGCCGAAAACAATGGCGCGCGCCGCGAAAACTATATGACCCCACCGAGGCGAACAGGCGCTAGTTTGTCAGCGCTGGGCACCTCCACGGAATGTTCGTGGGTCCCACGAGCATCGAGCATTCCAACCTGCCGACGACGTTCCCACCGGCACAGCGGAGTGGGTCGATAGCGGGCGGTGAGGCCGCATCGGCGCCCGGTACCGACCATCGCTACAGAGGCGGCCGAGGTCAAACAGCGTGGCCTGTCCGGGCCGTCTATGGGCACGCCGACTGGTTAGGTTCGGTCAACCGCGACGCTCAGAAACCGGCTAACTGATACTGCACACCACGGGAAGCGGATTGGAACATGGAGACGTGCTGAGACGTCCACAGCGAACGGACACTACCCGACCAGCTGGTTCATTTCACTCACTTGGACTCTGACGCAAAGATCACGGCTAATCACGCCTCCCTTAGATGCCCGCAGTGAACACGACGCCGCTGGACTCACGGTAGCGTAGAACACCATGAACGCTGACCTTGATCCCAGCCTTCCAAAGTCCAGGTAGCCGGAAAGCCAGATCCTGCAGTCATTAACGTGGGAACGGGACTTGCCCCCCAGGGCTATGGCAGTGTTCCAGTACGGGGCATACCAGCATTGCTCCAGTGTTCCAGTAGGGATACCCCAGAGAACCCTAAGGAAACGTGGCGCTGACTGGTCGGGACGCGTAGAACCATAGGGTGGAGCCTCGGTCAGGAGCACTGCATACCGCCCGGACGTCGACCAGAATGTCGGAGCAAACGCACCGTTCACACAGACTCGGACCAGGACGTGGACCACCGCAACAAAAACCTTTGGAAAGCCTCTAGCTTCTGCGCAAGAGCAACCGTGCAAAGTTGAAATATAGAAGTCCCCGAACGATCCGGCCACCTCCGTAACGGCTCCGCGAGTTTACGGAGCAATTCTCGAGACTTTCTACTAATCCTAACTACTGACGAAGTGCGGACGGCGGCTTGCTAACCGAGTGCGTTCGGAGATTAATATGTGCTTGTTTTCCCGACCTGCTCATAGACGACAAAGACTTCCCTCCACTATATATTGAGGGAAAAGCGCACCAGGAGATGTAAACATATGTGGAGAGCCCTTACGACGTGGGATGGGGGAAAGTCTGCCCTCATGGGAGGGGAAAAGGACGATCGACAAGGCTATGGCTTGATGAAAATCAGCATCTGCAGGATAATCAGCAAACCGCCGACAGAAGCTATGCCCACTTCGTCGCGCCTGTCCCGCCAGCCCAGCGTCTGCCCTCCGATTCAGCCGGTCCTGGCAGAGTGGGGGCGAATGTCCCAGTTCACACCCGGTCCGCGCAGTGACCGCAGGCCCAAAGGGTTATCGACGCTTCTGTGCATTTGCAGCTTAAGGCTCATCCACTCGCACCCACGTTATGCAAATTTTTCGCGTCAAAGGAGCGTTTGCCCTGGTTGCCGGGATTGGCTTGCGGTCAGCTCGAGCTGAACTTGTAGTGAAAGACAACCAAATGGCTCATTGAGGCAATTAAATTTATCGTAGTCTCGAAAGTGGTCCTGTCGAGCAAGCACCAAAACGGGTGGCGTCAGCAGGGGGGGGGGGTAGCATCTAACGGTACTTCCACTGACGGGGAGAGCATCTGACGGTAGTTCCACTGACGGGGAGAAGCGTCTAACGGTAGTTCCATTGACGTGGACAAGCATATGACGGCAGTTCAATTGACGGGGAGAAGCATCTGACGGTAGTTCCACTGGCGTTACAGCGGGGTCATGTCACTGTGACTTGACAACGCCCTCCGCAACTGAGGACCAACGGTGGCGCCTGCTCCTCAGCCTGGCACAAGCTGTGCTACGGTAGCTGCCCCCTCCCCCACCAGCACTTCTTGGTGAAGTGGGGCGGTACTGCAGCAAGCCTCAGGGATCAGCCGAGCAGCTCAGCACACCGTAGCGAGCATGCCCCGGTAACGCGGAAAGTAACGCCTGACGGGTACTTCGTCCGGGTAACAAAGCGGTCGCCGGCCAGGCGTGGTGTGCCGACCGGAAGGCAGGCTCTCAAACAGCGCTGCATTCACCGGCTGTCATGAGTCGTCTGTCCACGGCGCGCCGAGCAGCCCGGAAACTCCCCGGCAAGCCAGCCGAGCTCGCTACTGTGTGGGAAATGCTCCGGCCGATCATCAAGCCAATGAGGCAGGAAATACCAGCCATAAGCGGCTTCACGACATTCACTAAAGCAGACCAACAGCCTCGATGCCTAAAGCATATGTCCCATGCGGTCAGCACCCGCGCCGAGCCACGACTGTGGCGCAATTCGACCCAGCGGGCGGCGCGCCCTAAACTCACATCACGTTGCGAAGGTGCATAACCCTGCAGTGTTTGACTTTGGGTGTTTGGGAGTTTGAGACTTGGGGAGTTTCTCCCGGGAGCCGGCGGCTCGAGACGTGCTTGCCCGAGGGTCCCGGCCCGCCTGGTCCGGCGCCGACGCCATCCCCATCCTCCCCGGGAACCGAAGTCCTTGCACCCACCCCCAGCTACAAGCCAAATCAGCCGTCCAAAACTGAACATAAATGGACAGCTGTGGCGGTGCCCGAAAGGCTGCGAGACAAACTGCTGCTGCACCTGCTTAAGATGCCTCAGCTGACCTCCCGGCCAGGAAATGTGCAACTTGACAAAGCGATACCATGATCCGCTTGTGCTATGGTCCGCCGGGCTGGTAATCTCACTGTCGACACTCGAGGCTCAAGGAGTAGTGGCCGCGCCCGTACGCTGCGGTGTACTCAATCCGCGCCAACCGAGGCCGGGCGGCCAGCACAACGCACACAGCGTCACACTGACAGGCCGGCCCGTGCGCTGCGGTGCACTCAATCCACGCCAACCGAGGCCGGGCGGCCAACACACAGCACACAGCGTCACACTGACAGGCCGGCCCGTGCGCTGCGGTGCACTCAATCCACGCCAACCGAGGCCGGGCGGCCAGCACACCGCACACAGCGTCACACTGACAGGCCGGCCCGTGCGCTGCGGTGTACTCAATCCACGCCAACCGAGGCCGGACGGCCAGCACACCGCACACAGCGTCACACTGACAGGCCGGCCCGTACACTGCGGCGTACTCAATCCACGCCAGCCGAGGCCGGGCGGCCAGCACACCGCACACAGCGTCACACTAACAGGCCGGCCCGTGCGCTGCGGCGTGATGATGCCGTCTTAGTCATGTCTCTATGCAATCATTCATGCGGCGGGTGGGGCGCGCGAGAAGGACCAGCCCAGGTTCGTGGGGACGCCACTTGCGTGCAAAATGTAGAGGTGAGAGGTATATCCCGGAATATATACAACTTTCCTCTCCGAACCCCCCCCCCCCCCCCCCCCGGCCAGACCCTTCGCATTCGTTGCGCATTGATTCGCGCGTGGTTGGGTGCCAACCGAGCTAGCTCAGCTCACGCGCCGAGCAAGTCAGCTGGCGGGCAGCGCGGACCGCAAAGGCATTAAATGTGGCGCGGTGTCTTAGCGTCCAGTACATCTTGCAGACGCTGTTGTCTGAAAACAGAGTACTTCCCAACTGATAACACGGTAAAAAATACAACAGATAATCAAGAAATAAAGATGGAGCAAGGGGAGCATTTTCCTCGCCCCAGTCAACCAAGACCAGCCATCGACCTGAGGAGACCGAGACAGACCACAATGGGACAGGCCCGCTGTCTGACAACCGACAGTGGCAGGCGTGAACAAGGGAGTGTGGTCAGCCTAAATCAAACACCACGCGGAAAAGTACGCGCATAACGTGGGTCCAAAACGTGTGAGGGCGGACGCGGCCGGTTCGTGCCATATGGCGGTGGCAGCGTGCAGGCGCGGCGCGAGCTATTGATAGCGCGCGACGGCCCGTGCCTCGCCGATGACGTCACGTAGCATCCAGTGACGTCGGCGTTTTATCAGCGGCGGTGCGCGACAGTCCTATCGTAATGACAGCAATGAGAATCGTGTGGCCTGCCAGGCAGGTTGGCAGTAGTACTCAGTAGTCATAAAGCCACAGTTACAATGTCCCACGCTTGTGCTCGATCTGCGCGTGTGATGGCCCATCTTTACAAGCCTGGGCGATCCCCGAAAAGTGAAGAGATGACATGCCATGATCAGATTCAGCAAGAAAGCCTTGGTAACGAATATTTCTCCGAAAAAAGAACACGAAACCGTCAACTTTTCTTGCTGCCAGGCACGTGCGACTGAAAGCCAATGCTTCACCAGGAGATCCACGAAATTTTCCACGAACCTAGCCAGTCTGCAAAACATCCTGACATAAAAAATAGCCACCTGTTCAGTATCTGAACAAATGCTAAGCACTACTCGCTGGACCACGTGACCGTGGCCCAGCACCGACTGGTCCCGCCAGGGCAAGACGGTCCGGTGGCTGCTGCTGGCGGAACGAACGGTAGAACCCGCACCGTGACTTGGTTTAGAGATGGCACAGGCAATACCAGCTGTGCAGCACACCCCTCGCTAACCATCACCAGTCTACCCTTCTCCGGTCAGCTGTCGACAGATATAACGACTTGGGTCATTAACCTAGACACTGGACCTGGCGGGAAGCTCCCCCCTTAGCCATCCCGTCAGTGGCCGTCACACAGGTCTTGCGCAAAAAGGTAGATAAGTTCGGGGCCCCGCGTAGACGTGCAGAACGTTGCTGCCATCACCCAACGGCTCAATCTCGTCCACGCAACCATTGCGAGCTTTCGTTCGTTGCCGTGACGTGGCGGACCGCTATCCAGCCTGGGCTCCTCTGTCGCCGCCGCTGCCTACCGGCGCGGCCCGGCCCCGAGGCAGCCGATGTCACGGTCCGAGTCACAAGGGAACTCTCGCGGGGCCAGTGGTAGTACGGTTTCACCTGCCGTTTGCCTGATCGGCTTCAACATCAAGGGCTACCGACACTCGCTTAGAGCCCACACATTTTGACGATCTAATCCCGAATACAATTTAGGTCACATTGAGAGATTCGACTGCTCTTGCCGTCGAGCAGGATAATCTTTAAATCACAAACGCTTACCTGACCAATGCCCAGCACTTGAAAGGACGGAAAACTGCGGGAGAAGAGAATATGAAGTCAACACGAGTACGGGACAATAGTAGGAGTTTTACCGGATATCTAAAATCACCCGTATATATCATAACGCCGCTGAATTATCTTCACATAGCATCACCCCGCCTCTCCTATGGCGTCAGCTTGACCATGATGCCCTGCAGAGCACCACGGACCCGACACACGCAGTCTGGCTCGGTGATGCCCACCGTCTGACCGGCTGTCACCGCGCGAGACGGTCGCCATCACGAGATCGGCCAACAGCCTCCCTGGGTACCACAAGGCCGACGAATGGTTTCTGGTTCATACCAGTTTCGACACAGAGCCGGGTGGGCCTGAATGGTCAGCAAGAGCAGCAGTATACGTGCCGCCGGGAGTAAAACCGGGACTGCTCCGACCCCATACTACACTAATCCAATAAAATATTTAAATATCAATGCCATCACGCACGTCTTCGGGTGTATTGCAGCAGGTCAGTTTGGGCAGCGTTGCGACATCCCAGTTGCCTATGATACATCAAAGATGAAGTAACGGATCTAACCCTGTGGCTGTGCATGGAAAGTGCCGACATAAAATGGACTTGGTAATCCCCACCTATGATGTCCGAGATGCTCCTACAACCACGCATTATTCCGTTACATAAACTCCATAATTATTAGTGAAAAAGCTATCAAAACAATAAAGGATATTCAAACTTGCCATTTTAATACCAATAACCTACTTAAAATTAGCAAGCCCATAAAAACAGACCACTTTACACACCCGCCCCTTCACGCGCGGAGGTCAGGCATACTTACTGGTACTCTGTAAGCACATGTTTGTTGATGACCACAATGAGGAAGGAGGAGCTGGCATACAGTCCAGCCGAGAGGAGCCGCATGAACATGGAGCCGTCCTCATGGGGCGTCATGCTGCCGCCGGCACCTGGCCGCCTCCCTGGCGACAGACCCCGCGCCAGTTACATCACAGGTGCAACGTCGGCGATGACGTCAGCAATGATGTCAGCGATGATGTTAGTGATGACATAAGTCAGACATTAAATGTGCCGCTCCATCACTGTTTGTTGACGTGAATCCAGGTTTTGAAGCCAAGCCAGTTATTGAGGCAAGCCAGTTTTTTAAGCTTTGAAGTCAACTTGAAGAGGCCCAAATGGTGTTCAAACATATTTCACCATGCAATGTAGTGATAATCAGAAATATGTATTGAGCTGGGGGAGCTAGTGTCAGGTTTTACTTAGGTTTTTTGGTCTGATGCTTTGCCTCCCTCAACCCATTTTACCCCCTTCATCTCTTAGCACGCGCTCGGGTGGGGGGGGGGGGGGGTCAACTTGACTCTCCCAAAGGTTTTTCCAAAATGGTTTCCGAACGGCGCGGCGCAGCTCCGCCCAATTTTGCATAGCTGTAGACAATTGAATAGCAAATCGTTTGGTATCAAAAATTTAAGTGTCCCTTGTAAGGTCGCTGACCTATGGCAGGTCAGTCAAACAATGTTTTCAGCAAAGGCAATTTTTAGGGAATCCTTCAATCTGATCCAACAATGGAGCATTAGACAAAGCCATACACATTTATACCAGAATTCATTGATAGCAGAAACCACATTTTACATCATCCATAGACTTATAAGAGGTCAGAATAGGTCACTGACCTGAAATGACCCAGGTCAACATTTTGTTTTAGGAGCATACTGCCTAGCATAATCCTAGTCGCTTAGCCAAATGCAAAACTCAAAGCAATCTTGTATTACTTTGGATACCTTGACCTTCAAAAGGTCAAACAAGGTCAATGACCAAAATTGAGTATGTCACCTTTTGCTTATAAACAGTTGTCTAGGTTCTGGAGGCACTTTGGAGACTAACCTGGGACAGAACCCTGTTTGACCTTTTTTGACCCTAAGGTCATGACCCCAGAACCTGAAACTTTGACCTAAGTGAGTTCACATACAGGGCAACACACCCTGCAAATTTGGCATATCTAGCTTTCCTAGTTCTTGAGATCTCTGGGGGTCAAATTGACCCCCCACCCCCACCCAAGAGAAGGGTATTTAGCTGGTCACCTGGGCACATGTTAATGCCAATACAATGCTGATTTTCCATTGCTACTATTGACCAGCCAACACTATGCACCAAACATCTCACTTGCTGTTGGCTGTTGGGATTTTAACCTAAAGCAAATGGAAACATGCTTAATCCCACAGGTGTGTGGCCCTTGGTGACATTCTAGGGAGATAGTTACAATAGTGTTAAGGAAAGATTCTGGACTTGCAGTCCAAAGAAACTGTGCTAGATGTATGTGCCAGACAAAATGCTCGGCTTTTGAGTTGTTCTCCAGAGAAACTGGGTGTCACCCCACAGCATTGTTGGGTCTGAGGTGGAAAGTCAGCTGGCATCTGGTCAGAGACAGCCTGGTCCAGGCAGACTATACCATGGCACTGCATGGCACCTTACACACTCCAGTCTCTGCAGTCCAATGTGGCACTAAAAATCTAGAGGAAAACAAGTTGAGCCCACCCACAACATAAACCTGGAGACTCAGAGCTTGGTGCACAATCCCTACCAATTTCAGAACATGATCAATGTTTCAAAGAATTAAGATATCATAAAGACCACACCAGGCAAAATGTACAGAATATATGTGGCAAGCAAAAACAATTTGAAATTTAAGTGCCAGTTGGTATGATGAGTTTAGTACATGTGAGTACCAGCCAGCCAGCACCAGAGTACCAGCCTGATGAAACAGTCTGGTGCAAGAGATGGATTTTTGCATACTGGGTTCAAGGTAGGCATAAGCAAACATGAACACCTCTGTATGGAGAGTGTGAGACATCCAATTCATTTTAGTCATCCCCATCCCCTTCTTCAGGACCAATATTAGCCTACATGCTTGCTGACTCACAAGAGGAAATGCCTTAAACAACAATAATGTGCTGCCCCTGTCAACTTTCACTTATGGCTGTGATGGTGCACACAACAAACAGTGTAGCAGTGGCAATACCCTCATTCCTTGGAGAAAAATTAGGAGAATGGACATAAATGTACTTGAAGTTCTTGAAATTCTGGTCTGTCTCTGAGGAATAAGGCCATTACTATTGTTTTATCTACATGTACAATGCTCCTACAAATGCGCTTGACAACTTATGTAGAAGTGGCTCTGAGCTCCAGCTAGACTGAACTGAACCCTAGCTGTCTTAAGTTGATAATTGGAAAATTTGGGTTCAGAGCAATATGGCGCATTTAAATGTATGGTACACATGCACTGGAATTTGGGCTGCAAATTCCACATCATCCAGGGCATGTTTTACAAGGTTCTCACAACATATACTTTGGTTAGCATTTCCGTGCAGTCACAACTCACAGTGAGGAACGCCGTGTCACGGGTGGCAGCAGCAATGACAATTCCACTAAAATATCACGTTCGTACGATTTTGTCAGTAAGAGACGCTTATTCCGGCATCTCCACGACTTGCGTCGCACCATCTTTTCTCAGCCATTCTCCACGCATGCTCCCGCTTCGAACAGGTATACACTCAGGCACCTTCCAATGCAGGCACACAGATCTCAACAGAGCTCACACAATCAAAATTAAGATGGTCACAAGAAGCAGCTGCACTTGATGTCACTGGAGTCGTAATCGACGGACCACAATCGCGCACACGCCGCGCTGTAACCTGCCGCACACCCCCACTCCCCAACAGCACAACCTGCTCTGTCGAGCCGGCTTCTCGACGCCGCCACGGGGATGCGCGAGATGCGCGACGTTCCCACCATGCGCGCAAACGATGGGAGCACCAGCCAGAAATACTCATATGAACCAATCACAGTATCCATTGTAAACACCAGGCGCACAAATACACAGCTTTGAGCACAGTAACTATAATGTTTAGTTTTCTACCAGAATTGTGTTTTTCGTACCTAAACTTTAGACTGTATTTCGAAGTTGGGAACAAGACTTAAAATGTTTGCATGTACTTGTACATTTAAAATGGTTTGATTGCATATCTGACGTAGTATCTTCCTATTGGGCCGTGTTTTCTGATATTTTAATGTACGTTTGACCCGCATTAAGTGCTTATTTTAGATCAATATATAAAACGACAATACAACTACGGCGCATTTCGACATTTCATATGCGTTCTTAAACCGGCGCATCATTGTGCCTTTCTGGCGCGATATCGCTTGAACGTTTTAGTGTGCGGGATTTGGTGCACGGCGTCTGCCAGGCGTCTGCGGTCACGAGTCGGTGGCACGTGTAGGTGGCTGGGGCTCGCCTAGTATTGATAATTGTCTGGCTTCGAGTTTCTTGGTGCATCGGTTGATATTATCCGCAGCTGTTCTGTGCATAAGAACCGGTACGTTAAGCATTAAAGAAGTTGCTACTGTGATCAGTTTCCTGTCAGCGTGGATGGAAAGTGCCTTGCTGCATTTGTGTCAGTGGCCGCGCGCCATATCTTGTTTGAACTGCCTGCCACAGTTAAAACATTGCATGATACCCCAATGCTGGCTCCAATATGAGAATTTTTCTAGCAGGAAAAGTAAATTGATCTATGTTCCTGAATTTGATGGATTGAGTTTTTCAGGCCTCCAGTTGGTGAAGCCTAGTGGCAGAATGCATCAAATATGTTAATTTTTATGCACCACATAAATTGGCCTTTACGGCTTGCATTGTATGATGTTGGTGCACAATTGTTATCTGGGAATGTTGTTGGAGTGGCCTTTGTATGCATACTTCTACAATATAAAGCTGAGAGCCCTAGGCTCGGTGAATGCACTAACCATCTCAAAACATAGAAGCCAGTCTGCAGGACAGCATCCGCTGCTCTGGACCCTTGCATGTACTTTGTAGACTGAACCTGGAGCATATGTGCACCGAGCTTGGGCCCGGCCAAGTTTTCCTGAATGTTAAAATAAGTTACAAAACATGTCTGGGGAATGTTTTTTGAAATCACCTTGGCAATATCATGATTATTTACAATTTTAGCTCTCTATAGCCTGAATTGAGATATGACCAAGTTGTAATCATGCATTTTACTCAGAGCTCTTTGGCTCACTTGGATTTAATCTGTGCCTTTGTGCTGAAATTGCTGCAATAATGTTGCTGCTACATTATTGGACATGTTCAGTGTAACACATATTTTCATTCTGGCATAGATAGCTGATGTTTTAACATAAGTATATGGTTGAGAAGGTACTTTCAAGCAAAAATAATCCTTAGCATTGTGTCAAGAAAGGCTAAGTTTGAAACCTAGTGAAGTTTGGTTCAACTTGAGTTTGGTACATGTGTACAGGATTCAGTACTTGGATGTCAAGTGCCCTGGGCTGTGGATGGATTTTTTGCATACTGGACTGAGAGCACTACAAATCCTGTGCTACAAATCCTGATGTCAAGTGCCCTGGGCTGTGGATGGATTTTTTGCATCCTGGACTGAGAGCACTACAAATCCTGTATGCACTTATCCAGGGTTTATTGTTTTGGTGCTGATCATTGTTTGGTTGAAGTGGCTAAACATGATGTTGATGTAAAAGAGGTGGGGAATGATAATTGCTCAATTGATGTTCACCCAAATTCATGTTATCATGCTACTCTGTTACTGTTAAAAATTGCATATGGTTATAGGCATAAGTATTCATGCAATTTTTTGTCAAATTTGTGTGTCAATACACATTGAATTTCTGATCCACTGTAGTAACAATTTACAAACTTTCATCTCCATGCATGTGCTTTTATTCAGTAGTCAATCATATCCACCTGATTTTAAATGTTCTTAAGCATAGAGCATCAGTCCTTAGTTAACTTATCAGCTAAATATGGACAGTGTCACGATGCCTTCTTCAGCACAAATCATTAAATGATGTGTTGTTGAAGTCTACCACAGTTTGCTTCCTTTGCAAATTCATGACATTAGCATTGCTGCTCAAGGCACAAGTTACAAAGTTATTTGAGATGAGTGAATGCATGCAGGTTGGCCCAGTATCAGCATGAACTTCTTGCATTGGTAAATATGAAGTATGAAGGTGAACCTTACACAGCAGACCTTCATGTCTTTGTAATTGTCAGCTAGCAGGTAGATATTGTGGGGACTTCTGATCAAATGTCATTGTACTGCATGCCAGCATAAGTTGGCTTTACGGTTTGGAAGTGTTGAGCAATTAACACATGTTCTGCTAGAATAGACTGATATGACTTTTATAGTGTTTAGACTGGTCTGCCAGGAAATAAATATTTTTTCTGTCTCTCTCCTCCATTAAAGGCAGAAAGGAGAATCTCCTTTGTGAACAGCAGCAACACCTAAGGCATTTTTGCACTGCTAGATCAATGAGTGCATTGTAAAGCACTGTGAGTTAGTTTTGTTTCCAACCATCATGATCCTCCCAGGGATCTCCATGTCTGGTGCCGCGGCGGCGCAGCCTTGACGCCCCCTTCCCCGACAGGTCATGGACGGCGAACTGTATGATGAGTTCGGCAACTACATCGGACCTGAGCTGGAGTCGGACGAGGATGAGCCGGACGAGGCTGAGCTGGCGCGCCAGCAGCTGGTGCCGGCCGGCGGCGACGAGGCCGACGAGCCGGCCGACGACATGGACGCTGAGGACGCCGAGCCGGCTCAGCTGGCTGTCGTGCTGCACGAAGACAAGAAGTATTACCCGAGCGCCGAGGAGGTTTATGGCGCCGACGTGGAGACGCTCGTGCAGGAGGAGGACGCGCAGCCACTCACGCAGCCCATCATCGCGCCGGTCCGGCGCAACAAGTTCTCGCACGTCGAGCAGGAGCTGCCGGAGACCGTGTACGAGATCGAGTACCTGGCCGACCTCATGGACAACGCGGCGCTGATCCGGAACGTGGGCCTGGTCGGCCACCTGCACCACGGCAAGACGAGCTTCGTCGACTGTCTGATGCAGCAGACGCACCCGGAGCTGCGCACGCTGGACGACCGGCCGCTGCGCTACACTGACACGCTCTTCACCGAGCAGGAGCGCGGCGTCAGCATCAAGGCCACGCCGCTGACGCTGGTGCTGCAGGACTGCCGCAGCAAGTCGTACCTGCTGAACCTGTTCGACACGCCCGGCCACGTGAACTTCTCGGGCGAGGTGACTGCGGCGGCGCGCCTCTGCGACGGCGTCGTGCTGTTCGTGGACGCTTCAGAGGGCGTGAGCCTCAACACAGAGCGCCTGCTCAAGCACGCCGTGCAGGAGGGCCTCGCTGTCACGCTCTGTATCAACAAGATCGACCGGCTGGTGCTAGAGCTGAAGCTGCCGCCGCAGGACGCTTACTACAAGCTGCGCCATGTCATCGAGGAGGTCAACTCGCTAATCAGCGTGTATGCCGGCGAGGAGGACGCCAAGCCAGTCTCGCCCCTGCTTGGCAACGTCTGCTTCGCCAGCTCGCAGTACTCCATCTGCTTCACGCTCAAGTCGTTCGCCACGCTGTACACCAAGACGTACGGCTCGGAGGTGGACGCGGCAGATTTCGCGCGTCGCCTCTGGGGCGACATGTACTTTAACGCCAAGACGCGCCGCTTCACCAAGAAGCCGGCGCACGGCTCGGCGCAGCGCAGCTTCGTCGAGTTCATCCTGGAGCCGCTGTACAAGCTGCTGGCCATCGTGGTCGGCGATGTGGACACGCAGCTGCCGGCGCTGCTGGACGAGCTGGGGGTGCACCTGAACAAGGAGGAGCGCCGGCTGAACATTCGGCCTCTGCTGCGGCTCATCTGCTCGCGCTTCCTCGGCGACTTCACCGGCTTCACCGAGATGTGCGTGGAGCACATCCCGTCGCCGGCGGAGAACGCGCGCCACAAGATCGCGCAGACGTACAGCGGGCCGCAGGACTCGCCGCTCGCCGCCGCCATGGCCGACTGCGACGCCGACGGCCCGCTCATGGTGCACACGACCAAGCAGTACCCGACCGTCGACGCCACCTGCTTCCACGTGCTGGGCCGCGTGCTGTCGGGCACGCTGCACGCCGACCAGACGGTGCGCCTGCTGGGCGAGAAGTACACGCTGGCCGACGAGGAGGACTCGCGCATCGTCAACGTCGGCCGGCTCTGGGTGCACGAGGCGCGCTACAACGTGGAGGTGAACCGCGTGCCGGCCGGCAACTGGGTGCTGATCGAGGGCGTCGACCAGCCGATCGTGAAGACGGCGACCATCACGGACACGGAGGACCGCGAGGTGTTCATCTTCCGGCCGCTGCAGTTCAACACGCAGGCCGTCATCAAGATCGCCGTCGAGCCAGTGAACCCGTCCGAGCTGCCCAAGATGCTGGACGGGCTGCGGAAGGTGAACAAGTCGTACCCGCTGCTGAGCACGCGCGTGGAGGAGTCGGGAGAGCACATTATTCTGGGCACGGGTGAGCTGTACCTGGACTGTGTGATGCACGACCTCAGAAAGATGTACTCGGAGATCGACATCAAGGTGGCCGATCCGGTGGTGTCGTTCTGCGAGACCGTGGTGGAGACGTCGTCGCTCAAGTGCTTCGCCGAGACGCCGAACAAGCGGAACAAGGTGACGATGATCTCGGAGCCGCTGGAGAAGGGTCTGGCCGAGGACATCGAGAACCAGGTGGTGCAGATCGGCTGGAACAAGAAGCGGCTCGGCGAGTTCTTCCAGACCAAGTACGACTGGGATCTGCTGGCGGCGCGCTCCATCTGGGCGTTCGGGCCCGATCCGACCGGGCCCAACATCCTGGTGGACGACACGCTTGCCGTCGGAGGTGGACAAGACGCTGCTGGGCGCCGTGCGGGACTCCATCGTGCAGGGCTTCCAGTGGGGCACGCGCGAGGGCCCGCTCTGCGAGGAGCCGATCCGCAACGTCAAGTTCAAGATCCTGGACGCGGTGATCGCGAGCGAGCCGATCCACCGCGGCGGCGGCCAGATCATCCCCACGTCGCGCCGCGTCGCCTACTCGGCCTTCCTCATGGCCACGCCGCGCATGATGGAGCCCTACTACTTCGTGGAGGTGCAGGCGCCGGCCGACTGCGTCTCGGCCGTGTACACGGTGCTGGCGCGGCGGCGCGGCCACGTCACGCAGGACGCGCCCGTGCCCGGCTCGCCATTGTACACCATCAAGGCGTTCATCCCGGCCATCGACTCGTTCGGCTTCGAGACGGACCTGCGCACGCACACGCAGGGCCAGGCGTTCTGCCTGTCGGTGTTCCACCACTGGCAGATCGTGCCCGGCGACCCGCTCGACAAGTCGATCGTCATCCGGCCGCTGGAGCCGCAGCCGGCCACCCATCTGGCGCGCGAGTTCATGATCAAGACGCGCCGTCGCAAGGGCCTCAGCGAGGACGTGTCCATCAACAAGTTCTTCGACGACCCCATGTTGTTGGAGCTGGCGCGGCAGGACGTCATGCTCAACTATCCGATGTGAGGCCCCGGCGGAGCGGTGTGGCCGGCACTGGGAGGCGCGCGCCTGGCTCCGCCATCGCGCCGCCGCAGCGCGTGTACAATGCATCTCATCGAGCCGTCGTGGTCGCCATCAGCGTTCTCTGGAGTGGCGGGCGTGGTGGGAGGTGCGTCGTGGCCTGGCGAGCCGGCTCAGACGGTCCAGTCGCGGGCACCGGGTCCAATAGGAAGGGCGTGCTTGACAGCAGGGACGGCTGCGTTTCAAATGGCAAAAATCCGCACATTCGAGCAGCACACGTGTCGCAAGTTATGACCGAATGGAGGTCGTGATGTCAACAGCTGCTTTTGTACAAGTCAAAGGCGGAGTGTAAATACCATTCGTGTACTGAGCAGTATGTTTTTCTTTCTTTTTTTGTTGAAAAAGATCAGCTGTTTTTGAAAATATCGTAGTTTGCACAAGCCGTTTATGCGTCGCGGGTTCCGGACGAGGCCGCCTGGTAAAGCAAAACGCGAGCGATAACATGGTCTTCAGATGACCTATGTGCGGAATGGCGAGATCAGTGCGGGCACACGTCGGTGCGCTGTGCACACAAACGCTGACAATTTGCAGCTCACCGCCCAGCACGTCACACCATTGGCAGGCTAGGTCGGGAGACGGTTTAAGCCCTGGTGGCATTCGCCATGTAAAAGCCCCGGATGTGTACTATGGCGATCTCGTTTCCACTCGACTTAAAGCGTCCATCACCGGGAATTACTGGGCGCCGCTCAGTAAGCTGAGCTCCAGATGATGTCCAGGGGACTTCCAGATGGCACGGAAGGCGTGCGAAACCATGCATGATGGCTTCGCAAAACGTTGCTAATCCTGCTCAGATCTGGCTAACTGACCACCTAAAGCATTCATGTGGTGCGATCCCGGGTCTTTCTCTATTCCTTTTTATAGTCTTTACACAAAATCAGTAAAGCGATGTGGCTCACACCCTTTTTCTCTTCCTTTATTTATTCACGCTGGGAGGGGGTAAAAGTTGAGAGTCAGGACAGCGATTAACAGTCAAATGGTCAAAACCGGTGCAACCTAATGCGTTACTTTGGTGCAGTCTGTACATTACTTCGCGCAAGCGGGAAAGGTTTTTGATGGAATATAACCAAAGCATAACAACGGAGTGGGGATGGGGTGGACGGCGTAGCGTTACGTTCAGGTGTATAAAACTATTCAAAATGATCGGCGCAAGAGTTTTGATCGGTGCAACCAGTGTGTATCCACGGGAAATGGAGCTGGAAAGTACAGAAAACACGTAGCATAACTTATGGATGCCTTTGGTCACATTCGTCGGTGTGGGGATGGGGCGTTTGACGGCAATACTGCACCAGTTTCGTGTGATTTGACCTGTTCCAAGCTTCTCACCTGTCCAACAGTAATGACAAAGCCGGGATGCCAGCCGACAGAAGCGCTTCAAATAGTTCCCTACAATTAAGGCTTCAACACAACGGTTAGCGAGACACCCTCACCCCCGCCTCTGTTTCGCCCTCGTCCTTGCTGTTCCCCTCTCCGGGATCAGGTCAGGAGGAGTTTGCATTATTGTGCCCTCGCTTCTGAGCTTTCCAGGAACAAATTACGCGGCGTCAGTCAGGCCCAGAATCACGGACACGGGCCCGTAGGTTGCGGTCAGCCTTCCTCCAACACAAAACGAACGCGGCAGCGCCTTTCGCGAAACATTCACCCATATCGCCTGGGATAAAGCGCGACATCACCATTAACAAACCCACGGCCCTGTCGGCCAACGAAACGAAGCAACTCGCCCATAGCAGGCGCTTGGAGCTCTCAACACGCCCCTCCAGCGACTCACGTGAGCGGGGCGCGCCAGGCTTCTCGGCACGCGCCGGTGAACGGTGCCGCGTCGCTGGCCGGGCGACCATCGCTGTGCAGCGCTGTTTGTGGGCGGGTGGAATGACGTGACAGGTGCAGCAGCCCCGGACGCGGACCGAGGGCGGCGGGCGGTACGCGCGCGAGCCCTGCACCAGGATCGCGTCCGGAGTGGCGCTAGGGCAGGCCGATTGGCTGAGGCTCCGGACGGTCCCCACGCAAGCGCACGGCTGTGCAACTCTCCGGCCTGACCTCGACTGGCGCGCGCGCCGATGGAGATGATAGAGGGCACCTCGCCCGGGGCTAACCGCACCTGTCACCGGCCGCTCAGCGCGGGCCGCGACCGCTGGGCCAGCGCCCTGGGGCTGGGCAGGCGTACTCCGGCGGCCGGCGGAGTACGCCTGCCCTGGCGACCCCCTGCGCTGCGCCGGTGAGACCCGCCACACGACAGGAATGGTGCGTGTGTGTGATGCTGGGCTGGGGGCGGTGGTCGGCCAGTGGCCGGCGTAGACAGACTGCAGACAGCTCGTCCACGGGCCGGGGTAGACAAACTGCAGACAGCTCGATGTTGACAGGTGTGCAGGCCCGTGCCGAAATGTCGATTACGCCCTGTTGCGGAGCTGTCGATAACCGATGACAGGCACCGAGGGGTGGAGTCGGCCGTTTTGATGGCCAAAAGAGGGTCGAGATTAGAAACCAGTTTCATTCATGGAAAAGACCAATTTGAGAACTCGAGCTTTGGCGTCGAGATCGTTGATACAGTACGCATGCCCCAGACATGCCTCCAAGCAACGTAAATTGTCAATTTTCCCCCTACCCTCCCCGGATTATTCGTGTGAGACAGAGTATACAGCGTAGAGGCTTACGAATCAAGTTACATGCGGCGTACAATCGTGCTATTCGACCGTGCTGCTAAGTTTAATGCGCATTGCCTGGACATCAGTGCTAAACTTTCAACAGACCGGCGAAATAATGGGCGGCAAGCACAGTCGGACGCATCTCCGATGCCTTCGACCGTGAGAGATGCCTCCGGCACGGACGCATCTCTCGGAAGACAAGTGCTAGTACCCCAGCATGCCGAACGGAGGACCGAAGCGTACCACCATATTTTCCGGCGGTAGCTCGAGCAGAGGAACGGAACGGACCTGCCCACTTCCCGGTGGTCTTACGCCCAGAAATATTTTCATGTTTAGTCACCAGCTGAATGCGGTGATTTGGGTGCTGAGCTGTCAGAAAACATTGTATTCCCTCATTGGTGACCTGGTTTGCGCGCTCCACAGTCAGCGATCTCTCCAGGCGCTGCCACCTGGCTGTCACGCGATGTCTTGCATACGGGTCACACACGAGTGCCACGCCATCTATACCGCCTCCGTCACAAACCGCACTGCGTGGTGTCACCCCCGGCGCGCCTGAGTCAGGTTAGCATGGCTTCCCTCGCGCCATCTACCGGCCGTGACAGGAACATGACTAAAGAAGCCACCGCCGCGAAGGGATTTCTGCGACGTGGGCCAAACGTTCCTGTGCTGCCACGTCGCCAACGTTCATCGGCTCATCAATGCTGTCAACATTCACCTCCACCTGCGTTGGAACAAACAGCTTGTTCCATCGACGTTGTAGCGTTGAGCGCCAGGGAGTGGATTCAGCGACCGCAAGCGTCGATTACATGTGGCCTGGCCACGAGCGGTCGCTTGCTGTAGCACATCCTCCCTGAATACAGACTGCAACCTGAGCTGAGCTGAGCGGCTTCACGATAACAATATGGCAACGCCAGCCACGCAGGTCCGTAATATGGCAGCCCAGTCACGCAAGTCGGTCAATATGGCAGCCTAGCCATGCAGGCCTGCATTATGGCAGTCCCAGCCATGCAGGCAGACACTGTAGCAGCCCCAGCCATGCAGGTCCGCAATATGGCAGCCCAGTCACGCAGGCCGGTAATATGGCAGCCCAGCCACGCAGGCCGGTAATATGGCAGCCCAGTCACGCAGCCTGACACTATGACAGTCCCAGTCATGCAGGCTGACACTATGGCAGCCCCAGCCATGCAGGTCCGTAATATGGCAGCCCAGTCACGCAGGCCGGTAATATGGCAGCCCAGCCACCCAGGCCGACACTATGGCAGCCCCAGCCACGCAGGCCGACACTATGGCAGCCCCAGTCACGCAGGCCGACACTATGGCAGCCCCAGCCATGCAGGCCGAGACTATGGCAGCCCCAGCCATGCAGGCCGACCCAACTGCGAGACGCTGCCTCCGTCTCCAGCCTCCACCTGACCGCTGCACATATTTTATCCTCTGATCTCATGTGGCCAGCATCTGTACGTACCAACAATACCAGTTTTATAACATTCAAACGTGCACGCGTGATCAAGTTGCCTATATTGCATTGTTTCTGATGCCAGACCTGCATATTATGGTCTTTCCCCAACGACACATTTCAGCACAACACACGTCCTGATTTCTAACCCACACATACAGGTAACTGACAACTGCATACAAGAATCTCATCTCCACGATCCAACAACGGGAAATTTGTCGTGCGCAAAGGCAATCAGTAGTGTTCACACCAAGCTCAGCGCACCAGATATTAACCTTGCAGTCATCTGGCAGGTGAACAAGTGACCCGGTACAGTTAATTCATTACACAGAGGTTAAATAATCTGGGCGGTCCAGTTGCCACAGCCATCCCGAGATAGACAACGCTAGCACACACTACCAACAGGAAGTAAGCATTCACGCACTGATTCCATCCACTGGCATTGGGGTGGTGAGCCTGGTGCATTCGGCCACCCTGCGGGCCATCATGCTGATCCTTGTACAGAGTAACAAAATATGTGCACGCCTCCTACGCACCGGCCGGTCTCGCCCCCGAGCCCGTGAGTGTTCATTATTACAAAAACAGTGTCGCCTCGCGCGGTCTATGGTCGATTTGCACGGGGCGCACTGTATGTACTGCGGACAGCCGGCGGCGGTGTGCCCGACTGGCGTGGTCTGGGCCCGCCACCGCACGACTGCCGGAGGTCCTGAGTCTCCGCCCGCGTCTACAGCTTCGACTTGAGCTTGCCCATGAGCTTGTCCAGCTTCATGGCCTTGCCCATGTCTCCGGACAGCTTCATCTTGCCGGTCATGAAGGCCGCCGCCGGCTTCAGCTTGCCTGGAACACGGGCGCCGAGAACTTTGACCGCTGGCTGAACCACAGACGCGACAGCGATTGTAACCACCGCTCGCTTGTGGTCAAACCAGGGACAGCTGGCTTAGGCGGGGACTGCCCGACCGAGCCACTGAGGGCTTCACTCCGCCAACAGGTGTGACGGCTAGCTGGCCCAACTCACGGCTTAATCGGTCCAAAGCCAGACCTGACCACATCGTGAGCAGGTGCTGCACGGTGAGGCCGTGCGGCGTTCGGTGGTACGCCCGAGGACCGGCCGGCGTAACCCACACATCACGGGCCGCGCGCAACGCCAACGGACAGCGCCGCCTACCAGCGAACATCTTGAGGAAGTCGTCGCTGCTCATCTTGAAGGTGGCGTCCGGCGAGGAGGCGGGGCCGCGGCCGCACGAGCCGCTGCCGTTCTTCAGGTCCAGGAACCACTGGCCGGCGTCATCGCCTGCCGACACAGGGGCGGTCAGCGGGCCGACGCGGAGCGGGGGTAGGCGGCACCTGACGGGCCCGGCAGAACAGCAGGTGTGTGCACCAGCCGCCAGGGGCATGCGACGAGGAGCGCCGACGCCTCTGGGGGCCCTGACCAGACCTCTCCTCTGGGACAAACTGACTTGGCTTGCAGCGCGCTGAAAGCTTTGAAAACTCCAGGACTTGAAAGAAACACGACGACCCCAAGCCAGCTCAGTCGGTTCCGTCATTATTTTGCCGTTGCGGGCACTTCCTAACATCTCCAGAGAGAAGGGCAGGCCAACCGTACATCGCAGCAGACGTCGGACGGCTAGGAACGAGATTCATAAGATGGCTTGCGCATGGACTAGATGAAAGCCGTGAGGGTCCCCTCACGGGCTGCCGGCGGCAGCTTGCTTCCGGCATGACGAGATGGTGAGAATAGGGCGTCCCGGGTGCAAAGCATGTCAATGTCCAATGAGGGGTTTGGACCAGTCCTGGCTTCTGCCTCCAAATGCAAATAAATGACATTCTTAGAGCGTAATGATATGGACCAGGCATTGCGGCGGTCCGGAACATAGGAGTCATAGAGTCATAGAGAACATAGAGTCCGGAACACATTCCCAACCATCGCGTCATTCTAAACCAAAGAAATGCGTCAGGATCAGTTGAGCAGAGCATCACAAACGTGGCTATATTTCCAATAATTTGTATCTGTTCGGCTGAACCGACTACTTTTCGCAATCAAGGAAGCGTTCCTGACTAAGATGGTTGATTCAAAAGGGAAGAAGGCTGGAGGCCGAAGCAACGTAGCCCTTAAGCTATGTGTGATCACATTATCCGGCTGGACAAGCCAGGGAGCAGGATACCCGACACCCCTCCCCCCCCCCTCACCCGCCGAGCTGGTAGATGGAGCTCGTGTTCGGGCCGGGGAGCCACTGACCTGACACCTCGAACTGGTACACGGCGTTCGTGTTCTGCACGATCTCCTCGCTGAGGAAGCCCTCGATCGTGCCGAACAGTTTGGCGATCTTGCCGTCTCCCGCCGGGGCGGCGGCCTCCGCCTTCTCCTGGCGATACGCCGACCGCTCGTCGCATGTTTGCGCGCTCGAACAAAACACGGACACGAGGGCCAACCTCAGGTCCCCGTGGGAAAATATGAACCAAACGGTACTTCATGATAATGATCATGGCAGGGTAGATATCGAGCACACATATTGTTGGCCGTTAAACGGTCGTGGCCAGCGCTCGAGCCAACAAAACGACAGGCATGCAATCCAACACCTACAACCAGTCTGGTGGCGGTGCAGCGGATCCCATACTCGACGCCTTTCAGACGCAAGGAAAGTCCATGACACAAAGGATCCGAAATGTAAAATTGGTAAATATTCCAAGGTAGTGATAAAAACAGCACAGCTTCCCTAACCACCTAAGCGAGCGCCGTGGCCGACCGCTCCGACCTCTCCCTAACCCGACCTAGCCACAGCCGGTGCCCGGGATGTGGCCGCCGCCGTCGTGTTGGCGCACGAGCCAGACCGTAGTCCCTACCTTGCCGCCGTCGTGTCGGCGAACGAACCAGACCGTAGTCCCTACCTTGCCGCCGTCGAACTTCAGCTGTCCGCCTTGCTGCACGAACGTATCCTTCACGCTGTCGTCGAGCGCCTCGTCCAGGAAGAAGTCCGGCAGCAGCGTGGCCTCTGCCGGGTCAGTTCAGGTCATCAGGTCTCACTCGGTGACCATGCCAGCCCGCTTCTGACCTCCCCCGGATCTCTCACACATCCAGGTGGGTGGACGGGGTCCACGAATCTGGGACCTCATTAGAGGGAGCTTCACAAAGCAGAGCTCAACTAACTCCATCCAGCGCGCCTGCACGCAAGCGCATGCGCATGTGCACGCGCACGGATATATATATATATATATATATATATATATATATATATATATATATATATATATGGACGAGAAATTCATTATTTTAACTCCTGCCTCGTCCATGGCACCTGCAATACTGCCCGGAAGCAAGGACATGAGAACCGTCTTCAGAAGCAATACGACACCGCGGCGAACCCTCACCAAGCTCGAACCAACGACGCCTTAGGGAGCACTGTGGACAGCATGCACGACACCCCCTGAAGTTCTGGAATAACACACAAAGGTCCAATAGGTAGGTCGAAGAAAGTCAGACTATAGGAACACAGAAAGGTTACCACCCGGCGCGAAACAGGAAAATATGCATAAGAAGGGGGCAACTGATCAGGACGGGACCATCAGCCGGCATGGGACGAGGAAACCATCAGTGACAGCAAGCCGCTCTGGGGAAGTGCTTAAGATCAAGGAAACGGCATACATACACACGTGGGACAACCGCTGGCCACAGCCCTGCTGCAACTGCCTGCTCCGCCCACGCCATTAGTGCAGGGCGATCTACCCTACACTGACGCCACCATCAGTGCTACCCCTCATCGTACATGACAAGATCCCACCATCAACGTCACCCTTCCCCCTCCTGACGAGGTCCTACCGTCAACGTCACCACTCAGCTTCCCGACGAGATTCCACCATCAACGCCCTTCCCCCACCCTCCTGGTGAGATCCCATCAACGTCACCCTTCCCCCTCCTGACGAGACGCCACCATCAACGTCACCCTTCACCATCCTGGTGAGATCCCACCATCAACGTCACCCTTCCCCCTCCTGATGAGATCCCACCATCAACGTCACTCTTCCCCCTCCTGGTGAGATCCCACCATCAACGTCACCTTTCCCCCTCCTGGTGAGATCCCATCATCAACGTCACCCTTCCCCCTCCTGACGAGATCCCACCATCAACGTCACTCTTCCCCCTCCTGGCGAGATCCCATCATCAACGTCACAACTCATCCCCTGATGAGATCCCACCATCAACATCATCCCTCAGCCCCCCCCCCCCCCTTGACGAGATCCAACACCATCAGTCACACCTCACCTGCTGACAAGATCTCACAATCAACGTCACCCCTTACCCCCCTGACGAGATCCCACCATCAACGTCACCCCTCACCCCCCCCCCCCCCTTCTGATGACATCCCACTATCAACGTCACTCCTCCCACGGACGAGACCCCACCATCAACTTCAGGCCTCCCCTACCAACGACGTTCGTGGGCGTGGGAGCCCCCGCCGCGCCGTCCCCGGCCGGCGGTGCGCACTCACTGGGGTCGACGGCGTACTGGGCGAGGTCGGTGACGCCCACGTCCCGCAGCACCTCGTCGTCGATGGCGAAGTGGCCCGTGTAGCTGCGGCTGTCGCGGGTGAGCATGACGTAGGCGGCGTCGGCCATGATCTCGGGCTTGCGGCACTGCACGTCCACCGACTGGCCGCCCAGCATCTTCATCGCCGCCGTGATGATGGCTGCCAGCCCGCGCGGATCAGACGACGGATCGGACACGGCCACGGGGCGCTGCCGTGCCTGAGCAGCGGCTGTAGATGAGCTCGATGGGAACGTACGGCGGAAGGTACATGAGCGAAGGCGGCGACACCGTCAGATCTCTGGTGGACCGAACATGGTTGCGGTTACACGGTGTAAGAAACAGTGCAGCTCATGGAATGATGATTAATATATGGACATTAACAAGACTTCCATTGAGCAACGGACCTGCGCATTACGCCATACGAAAACGCCATATACGATAGCGTCCCAACCCAACAGGTTTTCTCAGTCTTGCACTCGATGGCAACGACTGACCCAGGATCGTGCGCGTCAATCCCACTTCCGGCTGAGTTTCTCGCAAGCGGCATAACACGAGCAACAAAGCAAGAGGGGCGCCACGAGCACCCCTCTCCCGAGCCCCACCCTGCAACCCTGGCGGCCCTCGCCCGTCGTGAACACCCCTCTCTTGGACCCAGCCCTGCACCCCTGGCGGCCCGCGCCCGCCGTGAGCACCCCTCTCTCGAGCCCAGCCCTGCAACCCTGGCGGCCCGCGCCCGCCGTGAGCACCCCTCTCTCGAGCCCAGCCCTGCAACCCTGGCGGCCCGCGCCCGCCGTGAGCACCCCTCTCTCGAGCCCAGCCCTGCAACCCTGGCGGCCCGCGCCCGCCGTGAGCACCCCTCTCTCGAGCCCAGCCCTGCAACCCTGGCGGCCCGCGCCCGCCGTGAGCACCCCTCTCTCGAGCCCAGCCCTGCAACCCTGGCGGCCTGCGCCCGCCGTGAGCACCCCTCTCCCGAGTCCCACCCTGCACCCCTGGCAGCCCGCGCCTGCCGCCGGCAGCCTGTCCTCACCGGTGCGGGGCCAGAGGGCGTTGACGGCGATGCCGTCCGCCTTGAACTCCTGCGCCATGCCCAGCACGCACATGGACATGCCGTACTTGGCCATGGTGTAGGCCACGTGGTCGCGGAACCAGCGCGGGTTCATGTTGAGCGGCGGGCTGATGTTGAGGATGTGCGGGTTCTGGCCCTTCTTCAGGTATGGCAGGCAGCACTTGGACCTGTGTGACGGATCGGGTGAGATCGGCGATATACTGAGCCACGGCCCGGGGGCATACATATACTGAGCACGACCTGTAGTAAAACACTGAGCATGGCTGTGTTGAATGATAACCGATGACATGAATGCTCCTTGACACCGTTGCATGCACCTTCGCCCCCCCCCCCCTCCCCCTTAAGACATTCATAGTTACCGCGATTCCAAATGGAGCTTTGCCTTGCTAGTATGCACACTGTCAAAAGTGAGAAGCTACTCGGAGCACGACGTGTTTTGGAGCTCTTGAGACGGATAACTCTTCCAATGATGTTGCATGTGCAAGGCCTTAAATAACTGAGATGCATCCATAATGGTACCAGCCTAACCCAGTGGAGGGCAGCACCAGCCAAACTCAGAGGGAGGACACAGCCTGACACTCTCACAGGATTTTTTTAAAATCAGCCCCACCAGCAGTGGCTGCCCAAAAGCTTGTCGTGTCCACCCTCATCCGCGCCGCCCCCCGACACTCAGCGGTCTCACTAACACGAGGTAGGTTCCGCGGGTGTTGATGTTGTGCATGAGGTCGTATTTCTTCATGGACGTCTCCAGGGTGCCGGTCAAGCTGATGGCCGAGGCGTTGTTGACGACCACGTCGATCCCGCCGAACTGCCGCACCACATCCTGAACGGCGCCCTGGACGGCCGACTCGTCCCTGACGTCCACCACGCAGGGCAGGGCCTGGCCACCGGCCGCCTCGACTGTGGACAGGGCCGGCACGCCGGTCAGACCACACAGGACAGGGCCTGGCCACCGGCCGCCTTGACTGTGGACAGGACCCGAACACCGGGTCAGATCACACAGGACAGGGCCCGAACACTGGGTCAGACCACACAGGACAGGGCCCGAACACCGGGTCAGACCACACAGGACAGGGCCGACACACCGGGTCAGACCACACAGGACAGGGCCCGAACACCGGGTCAGACCACACAGGACAGGGCCCGACACCGGGTCAGACCACACAGGACAGGGCCGACACCGGGTCAGACCACAAGGACAGGGCCCGAACACCGGGTCAGACCACACAGGACAGGGCCCAACACCGGGTCAGACCACAGGACAGGGCCCGAACACCGGGTCAGACCACATAGGACAGGGCCGACACACCGGGTCAGACCACACAGGACAGGGCCGACACACCGGGTCAGACCACACAGGACAGGGCCCGAACACCGGGTCAGACCACACAGGACAGGGCCCGAACACCGGGTCAGACCACACAGGACAGGGCCCGAACACCGGGTCAGACCACACAGGACAGGGCCGACACACCGGGTCAGACCACACAGGACAGGGCCCCAACACCGGGTCAGACCACACAGGACAGGGCCCGAACACCGGGTCAGACCACACAGGACAGGGCCGACACCGGGTCAGACCACACAGGACAGGGCCCGAACACCGGGTCAGACCACACAGGACAGGGCCCCAACACCGGGTCAGACCACATAGGACAGGGCCCGAACACCGGGTCAGACCACATAGGACAGGGCCGACACACCGGGTCAGACCACACAGGACAGGGCCGACACACCGGGTCACCACACAGGACAGGGCCCGCACGCCGGGTCAGACCACACAGGACAGGGCCCGAACACCGGGTCAGACCACATAGGACAGGGCCCGAACACCGGGTCAGACCACAAAGGACAGGGCCCGAACACCGGGTCAGACCACATAGGACAGGGCCGACACACCGGGTCAGACCACACAGGACAGGGCCCCAACACCGGGTCAGACCACACAGGACAGGGCCCGAACACCGGGTCCGACCACATAGGACAGGGCCGACACGCCGGGTCAGACCACACAGGACAGGGCCCGAACACCAGGTCAGACCACATAGGACAGGGCCGACACACCGGGTCAGACCACACAGGACAGGGCCGAACACCGGGTCAGACCACATAGGACAGGGCCGACACACCGGGTCAGACCACACAGGACAGGGCCCGCACGCCGGGTCAGACCACACAGGACAGGGCCCGAACACCGGGTCAGACCACGCGTGAGGCCGGAGGGGCAGAATAGGCAGCCGCGGTCTCGGAGGTGGGGCTGAACCACTCCAGTAACGAATGGTAGACAATCATGGGGATGTTTGGAGTCGTGGACCTCGACCCTGTGCCAAGGGACGTCGTCAATCCCAGGGCGGTGTGCTCTGGGACGGGCTGGTTTCCGGGGCCACCGCACGGCCTGGACATCGACCATCCGTGCACTCGTCGTAAAACCCCCAGAGACAGTGTGAGGCGTACCAGCCACAAGCAACAGCACCTGTGTGCGTTCAGCAGTACGGCCGTCAGCACGAGGTGCAGAAAAGACCCGGTAGTGTTGCCGGTCAGCGTCGCCACCAGCTGGCTCGATGCCCAATGCCTGTCATTAACCCCATACCACTCTGGGCGGCAGCACTGAGGCGGTGTAAATATCCTGCCACACAGTCAGAGGCAGAGCAGTTTGGCTGTTAAGTTCGTTTCATTAAAAGTGGCACAGACTTGCATGATTTGTATAATGCAGTTGCAGATAAATATTTGAATGAAGTGAACACGAAATGGCCTGCTTGAACGGACCAACGAAGGGGTAAGGTGCACAAAAAATTGCGAGTGCTGACGTGTTCTAAATGGGCAAGAAAGCTACGATTCAGAACGGCATTTGAAGCACCAGCCAAGACGAACCACGGAAACACGGTCACGTGTGCGTTCTGAGCCCTACCTTACTGTAACGAAAGCCACGGCACAAATACTAGGTCGCGACGCGCCGGCGGTATACTGCAGTGGAGGTGTGGTCCCCATATGGCTGGACGGTAGTGAGAGGTTCGGAAAAAATAGCAGTACAAATAGCGAATGTTTGACAACAGGACGTTACACGACTACGAAGAGGATATTTCTTCTTTCTCTACGCGCAATCAAAATGCAAACATCAGGTGCGCTGAGTCCACATGAAATGGTTATGATGATTCAGAGATTTAATACCGATCTGCTACCCAGTGCATCACTTCTGGATTCCATCTTGACCGGTGCTTCAACGGCTGGGTTATAATATAAACAAGCAGTCCCGCCGGACAACCTCGCCTCAGATAAAATGTTCTTCTCAGCGCATTCCGTTTACTGATTTTGTTTCAGCTACCAACCACATCCAACAGTCTGACGCACTCTGGTGCCGAAATTTTATTAGATGGGCCAGTCAGAGTGGGTCAGTACCAGATTAGGCCAACCTTGTGCAGGGTGAATGCTCTTATCTTATCTTTGCCCCACAAACATGCCACTCTGGCATCAACTGTTCTTGAGAAGCGGAAATACGAAGGCAACGCTTGTTTGAACAGCTGGTAAAGGAGTCCTTAGGACAAAAAAGGTCCTGTGATGCAGGGTTGTGACAAAATACTTTCATCATTATTAGCAAACAACCAACGAGTAAGTCTAACGATAAACAGGCATAGACAGATCCAATGCCAAAATAGAAGCTTTCAGCACATAACACCACAGCCTCAGTACAAAGTCCTTAAAAATGGCTGCTATGTCCCCCCCCCCCCCCCAATCAGATCATCTATGCAATATTACTTAGACTACAAGGCAGGTGGGCAAGGCTTTGGGGTGGCGGACAGCAGCCAACGCCCCCAACAAAGGAGCACGAGTCTGCTACACGGAAAGAGCACGACACAACTGGCGGCAGCACGTGGTACTGACTTTCCTTGGCGGCCGTGTAGATGGTGCCTGGAAGTGTGGGGTGTGGGTCAGCTGTCTTGGCTGCCACCACGATCCTGGCGCCGTCGCGGGCCGCCTTCAGCGCGATCTCCTTGCCGATGCCGCGGCTGGCGCCCGTGATGAAGATCACGCGGCCCGCCAGCTTCCTGCACCCGCAGAGGGGCAGAGGGGGATGGGGCGGCTTAGGGATGACAGGCACTGGAGCTGGGCTCTGCTTTCAGACCAGCTTTGGATGACACATCATGTTATCAGTGAATACACATGCTGCACCATGCTACTCAGGGACTGAATTGCAAGAACTAAACAGGCTTAGTAGTAATGTGGGGATGCATCATAACATGAGCTGAAAGAGACAGATGGGTGTCTACCCCAAAACAAAAGTATGAGCTCAAAGATATATGGTGTTGTGGCATGTTATGAAAAGACAGGCATGTGTCAATTCATTATGCTGACATACACAATCGAAAGCTCACAATGTTGATTATTCACAAACTGAGTGTTTATTCCTGTAGTTTTACTTGGATGAGTTTTCACATGACACATATTCATCTATCTAAATTTCTACTTGAATGTCTTGAAAACAGCCTATTGCATTGGCATTTAAAAACAGCTATCCAATGCATCAAGTATGTACATAACTTTTTACATAAAGCAGGGAACCCAGAGAAACATATGCACATATAGTAATGACAAACTAATACAGACATGTCCATAGGCACACTAATGATGAAGAATCACTGCTATGGAATACACAGTCACCTAACATGATAACACAGTAAAACCTCTCACCCTGTGTTGAGCATTTTTATGTGTGGTAGGAGTCAATTCCTGAAACAAAGAAATCAAAATCACTTAGGGGTCACACCATGTGCTTAAACTAAACACCTCCAAAGCCTTTCACAAAAGTTTTGCTTGTGCTGTTAAAAAATTTATGAACATGAGGCATGCAGCATGTTTTCAAACTCTCCATAGGTACCTAGATGTAACAACATGAATCATGATAAAAACAGTGCTCAATTACAATCCAAATGCATAATGGGCAGGACCTTATTACCATCATTACAAAAGGCAGGACTAATATTGCACAAACATCACTTGAAAAATTTCAAAGCTGCTGAATAAGGCCTTCCCAGCAATACATTGTAAGCTGAGCTCTGTATTTCCATAAAAGGCATGCTAGATTTATGAAGTTAATGTCACTATATGAAAAACTGAGCTTATACATGTGAGAAGCTTATTTTCCCCATAGATGAAACTATTGTAAATACAATTGGTGTATTCTCCATATGCTAACAGAGCCCATTTTATAAAAACCTTACAATTCCTGCCAGGTGAACTACAGTAATAGCACTTCAAAATCATAAACCCATTCAGAAAGAGATTTGCATGCATGGAAATGTTATGCAACTTCGATGGCTATGACAGATTCTCAGCTCAACCAGGTATGAGTACTTGACCAAATTTTTCTCTTTGTGTTTTACTGAAAGATTTGAAATATGTCATAAATCCAATTGAACATTTTCAAAAGTAAGGTAGCATGTTGTGTGACTCCATTGGTAGGAAAGCCAAACCACACGCACATAACATAGCTATTGTTCTGGCTAAAAAGTGACACCATAAACAAAAATGTTTAATGTACCTCAATGCCTTACCCAAAGGTGACAGTTATTTGTGCTGGTGCCACCTTAGTAACAATAAAAGTAGTTTTCTCCCTTGTTTTATTATTTGATTAATTAGGACTAATTGGCATTCATACAGATGTGTATTCTGGATGTTAAATAGATAGTACCAGTAATTCGTAACCACTCCTGATATGGCAGGTCTCATGAACAAGAATATCCAGCCCCTTCAGTATCGCCTGTGCACACATTTACAAAGGTTTTCCGAATTTCAGGACAAGAAAGTGTCTGAGTACCAATGCAATATTTTTCAGGAAAATCACACCTCAAAATATCTCCAATGAACTACGAAATTCAACTAGACACGCACTCACGTTGCAAGACAGCCCACCACACCGACCAGAAAGTCCAGGAGGAAATGAAATAGCTGCGCAAGGAAAACGAAGCAGCTGCGCCGTATTTGGAGCAATCTTATTGGACCTCTACTGAAGTTGTTTTCATGGAAGACAGTCTTCGAATAGAGGAAAGCAGCCTTCTTGAAAAGTTAGATAGTATTCTCATAGAAGAAAGCAATTTTCTTATAGAATTTCTTCAATAAGAGGCAAGCTCATAAACTATTATTCGTGGCTAGCGTACGAACATTCTTATCAATGCGGTAGAACATTCTACTGATACAGAGTTGCGTGCGTGTACATTCAGCTGCTTGGCTTTTATCTTGACTCCATTCAGAGGCACGTTGTGTTAGCCACAAACCGCGGGGGTTCCACAACTCTGCGCTCTCCTTGGTTACCTCCCAGCATGGCAAACAGAATGGTATACGGGGCAGGGAGGCGTCACAGATTTTGAGATTGGAGGGCGCGATAAGGGGCCTCCTCTTAGGAGGGCACGATAAGGGGCCTCCTCTTAGGAGGGCACGATAAGGGGCCTCCTCTTAGGAGGGCACGATAAGGGGCCTCCTCTTAGGGGGGCACGATAAGGGGCCTCCTCTTAGGGGGGCACGATAAGGGGCCTCCTCTTAGGAGGGCACGATAAGGGACCTCCTCTTAGGAGGCCACGATGAGGGGCCTCCTCTTAGGAGGGCACGATAGGGAGCCTCCTCTCAGAAGGGCACGATAAGGGGCCTCAGGAGGGCACGATAAGGGGCCTCAGGAGGGCACGATAAGGGGCCTCAGGAGGGCACGATAAGGGGCCTCAGGAGGGCACGATAAGGGGCCTCAGGAGGGCACGATAAGGGGCCTCAGGAGGGCACGATAAGGGGCCTCAGGAGGGCACGATAAGGGGCCTCAGGAGGGCACGATAAGGGGCATCAGGAGGGCACGATAAGGGGCATCAGGAGGGCACGATAAGGGGCATCAGGAGGGCACGATAAGGGGCATCAGGAGGGCACGATAGGGGCATCAGGAGGGCACGATAAGGGGCATCAGGAGGGCGCGATAAGGGCATCAGGAGGGCACGATAAGGGGCATCAGGAGGGCACGATAAGGGGCCTTCTCATAGGTGGGCACAATAAAGGGCCTCCTCATAGGAGGGCACGATAAGGGGCCTTCTCATAGGATGGCACAATAAAGGGCCTCCTCATAGGAGGGCACGATAAGGAGTCTCCTTATAGGACGGGCCCCTGCACAGGGTCATATCCAAGAGGAGCACTACTGGCCGCATGTGATCCTTTGTAACACCATGGCATGTACCGTATTCGGTGGCATGTACCGTATACCGTAATAAATGTCGACAATTGAGCCCGTAAAGCCAGCCTGAGCCAGCAAAGTGGCTTGCCTAACACAACATTGGGTCTTCCAATCTAGAGCATGGGCTACCTTATTCATAATGGTGTCCACATGGTCCAGAAAACGGGCCTCTGGATGTAGAAAAGGGTGTTCTGAGCCATATTGATTTCTCTCTAGCCTAGTTAAGAGAACCTCCTTGATTCGAATTGTTGTAGTATAAAAGAAGTTGCGTAGCCTTTAGTTTGATAAAAAGGGGCCTTCAAAAACTGGAGGGGACAAAAACACACTCTTGCTTCTCTCGTGCCTACCAGCAGGGTGGAGGGCGACTGAGCCTCCTGTTTCCCCAATGTTGTTGCTCCCCTTATTGGGAGCAAAAACGAAAAACAAAAAACACAGCGACATGCTTTCAGCGTGTTCTGATAGACGAACAGGTGCTTTATTTCTTAAATTGGTGTATATGTCAATCCATCAATGGCGTGGTTTTATTTCCGGTCACCACTCTTGTGCAGCCCTTGCATTTGCCCAAATAATCATCCTCCGATCATGTTTTTCCTGTTCCATTATCGCTTGAAAATAGTTGGTCGAGCCTCAAACAAAACGCACTTTGAACGTATTGGGGCGGGTAGCTGATTTTAATCGTGTTTATTCGGCGTTTCCCAAATCTTCACACCGGCGTTTGCTGCACTCTCTCCACCTGAATGGTTGTTGAGATTTATACGCGTTATTGCGATAACACTAGGTCATAATCAAATTAAACGTTTCTAATTATCCGCACGGCCATGGATATTTCGCATGGACCTTCACGCGCAGCATATTTGACATACCTTTTCAGCATTATTCATCTCTTACCAGGCAAAAACAAAAAAATACCGAAAATTATTTATCGTCACCAGAGGCGGCGACACCGTGGGGGACGTGGGGACTGTTTTTCCACACAACTTTCAGAACGTGGGGACTGTCCCCACAACCTGAGAGGTGATGAATTGAGGAATGCGTGTGCATGCCTACGTTTTGTTGAGGCAAGTAGAAGCATCAAATCTCACAACAACAAAAAGAAAACGCTAAACGTACTTCACATGTCTTGTAACGCTATGGAAAAACCAACTAAATTCACTATACGGGAACTCTCTCAATGGGAAGCTCTTTGCGCTGCAAACGGCGGAGCGCGCACTCGCCATTTTCGTCGCGAAAGGCCTTCCCCAAACCTTCCGGCAGTTGTTCTGCGTATGGGGAACTTAGTACCTCCTTATAGGGTCATGTCACCCTCCCCCCTCCCCCTTCTCTTCTCCAAATGTTGAGCCAGGCCCTGCAATGCTGAGCTGTTTATTTACACCACTTGGTCCCTAGTGCCACAGCTTTTTTAAATCGCTTCTTTTTTAATAGTGATATCGATCATTTTACAAGTGCGATTAACCATAACAAGGCTATACCTGCGTACTGTTATAGCATTATAGAACAGTGGCTCACTGTCGTATTATTCAGTAGGCCCGACTTTTGACACTACCAAACGACCAATCCCACTTCGGCGATGCTCGAGCCTTTTTTATTATTTCAGTCCGATGCCTAAACCAAATATGCATACCCGACTGACTCGACCATTCGAAGTCTCGTAACAATGTGGCGATAACTGCAGCACGCTGTTGGGCTTTAAAAATCGTGTGAATGCACTTTTCCTAGTGTATCGTAGACGTAGCAGGATGATCATATCGACGCGGGTGGTTGTATGCTCGTCATGTAGGTCGGGGATTCGTCGTTCGTCGTGCGCTCGTTGACGGAATTCGAGTTTCAAAGACGGCAAAAAAAAATGGGGAGCCTATTTTTGGTAGCACAAAACCAATAAGCACCAAAGTGTTCAGATATTCCGAGCAATAGCTTGCGCTTTTTGGTGTAAAACATGCAATGGTGTTTATTACGAATTACTTAAAAACTGTTCGTTTTGAAACATCCGTTAGGTACGTCAAAGGTAAAAATAGCCATAATTGTTGGTCCTGCCAGCTAAGAATCAGTCCGTTTATTCACTCAATGTTTACCTACGGGTCAGAGACTCTGGAATACTTGTACATTCAGATTTATAAAAGCATGGCTCAGGCACATGTTTTGAAAACCATCCGGATTCCAACGCACCACCCGCAGAAGGACATCTCTACCAATGGCTTCATCCTGGCGCATGCGCTTTTCGTAAGCAGGTCGTTGCATTCCAAGACATTCGCTGCCTGTGACACCACGGTCTTAACAGACCTTCGGCCGTCATGCCCACAGCCTGTGTGGCTTTTACGTTGCACTCTCCTCGGTACCAATTGCGAACAAACGCGTTCGGAACGGTTACAACAGGTTGTAAAACAGCTGTTCTTTCAAATTTAAGCTAAGCTTTTAGTTAACGGGACAGCGGTTAGAGAAACGAGCCTTAATTTATTTAATTGAAAGCAGTTGGAACAAATTTAAAACAATTATGCTACGTCTGTTCTCTACCGAATACAAACTGGGAGTAAGAGCGTTGGTGGAAAATCGGTAATTATGCGGTCGCGGGGAATTAAAATTGGATGTGTTTGATGCATCATATATATATATATATATATATATATATATATATATATATATATATATATATATATATATATATATGTATGTGTGTGTATATATGTATATATGTATATATGTATGTATGTATGTATGTATGTATGACGTGCACAGACGCCTAAACCCATAAATAATAGTTGAATTACTGGTAACGTTCTTGTTAAATTACAGCTACCACCGATAAATGATAGGCGCCTAACATGGTATCAATTGAGAAAGACGAAGCACTATTGGCATAAATTTAGGGTCATCATGCAACCAGAAGTTTGAAAGGTTCAACCGCACAACTCCGGAGTACAGTTTGAAGTGGGTCACCCATGGCTAAACCCCGTCCCGGTCCCCACAAAAAAATGAGTCACCGGCATTGACCGTCACCGATACTTAACGGCAATAGCTGCCTATGCTTTTCCTCCCTAGACATCAGCCTAGATTATTTATCAATATTTCATGTAGTATCTCCGATTATAGTGGTCTGTACATGTGTGGTTTGGCACGTACTCGGAATTGTTAGCTCATGCGGGGTATCTAGAACGGTAGACCGTCTGTATTTCTACCGCGACAGAGAGCGATAATCTGAAGGTATTCTAAAAAGAACTGTCGGGCGATCGTCTGTCACCCGGCTGTTGCTGACGGCTGACGACGGCGATATCGTTCAGTTGATTTTCTGACAGGGTATTGCTCAAAAGTGACCAGTCAGCTGAAGCGGCGGCTTATAAAGTTGCGGCAGTCAGGTGAAACTGCTTGCTTCTGTGCGAAGATGGTGTAACAGCGTGCGTACGATCAAAGGCGGCGTCACGGATTTTGAGTTGGGACGGATTTTCCACGAGGCATCCTGTGCAAAATGGGACCTCCTCGCAGGGGAGGGGGTGGATGATAGGCATTGCCTATTTCAGGGGGGGGGGGTATGGCACCGAGGGTGTATCAGAGTAAATCAATGTCGACAATTAAAACACCCAGAATGAGGGTCTTCTCATTATTCAGCTTAGGGTTTGCTTTTCTAAAACGAGACCTCCTTTTCCATAAAAGGGCCCCTTATCCAGAACAGAATGCTTCCGAGTTACGAATGGGCCCTCCAAAATTAGCCAAGTGGCGTATTCATATGACCCCTTGAGAACAGAATGCTAAATTCCGTCGGACTGTGCCGACGAGTAGGCAAACATGCGGTAGCGTTAAAAAAATGTTTCTAATCGCGCGCGAAGGCTACGGTCGCGTACACTTCATAGCGCGGAAGCGGGGGTCTCGGCTAGGACAGTAACATCATTGGTGGCCAATGGCATCCATTTATTCAGCTTCCCCTTTCACAGCGCATCTCTGGATGCTAGGCTTGCCGGACAGGGCGAGGATTGCAGAGTTACAGCAGTTACAAATCCGATTGTCGTGCATGGACGCTACGACCATGTGCATACGGTAGCACTGTCACAGAGCTACATTACTTAAGCTACATAACACTGCATTACTGACTGCGGATGGCCGACTTGACGCGAGATGGCGAACATACGGCAGCTTTTTGAAAATGGTTACATTTACGGTGAAAGGTTACAGTCGTGTGCATTCCACAGGACTGTGGCAGGGCTGTCAGCTGGAACTGCAGCAGCGTTGTCGGCCCACGGCATCCATTCATTGGTTGGACCATCTGACCGCGCATCGCTCAACTGACCGGCCAGCTGGTGTGTGTACCTGCCTGGATGCGTCAGTCAGAGTAAAGTACTCATGAGCATCCGCGGAAGGTGCGACCCTGTTTAAATGAGGAAATTTTGGCGTGTATATCCGCTAGCAACGTAACATTGCTGTCCGAAGGCAACGATTTGTTCATGCAACTCCTAACAGCAAATTATCACTCGATGCGGACAGCCGGCTTGAGTCGTTGTGTCACACATGTGTCAGCCTTTACATATTCACACGCAAAGGGTGTAAGCGTGTACATTTGGTAGCACCGCGGGGGATCAACTGGCACTGCAGCCTCGTCTAACGATATTCATCGTATCGTAATGACATCCATTTTACCGGGTCGACCCCTGACAACACATTACTTGATGCTGGTGTGTTACCCGAGGGGGCATTTGAAACTTACGACAGTCGTTTTGTCGTTCGCGTAGAGAGTGTATACATTGTACACATCAATGTGTGCACATCCAACAAATACATGCATACAGTTTGTGTGCATACATAAACACCTATCGGATGGCTATTAACTGGCACCATAACCTTGATGGAGGCCGACGGCACCGATAGGACTCCTGGGACACCTTGATAGCGCATTACTCAACGGGCTGGCCGGCCTGGAGCGTGGTAGTAAGCTTACAGCGGGCTTTTGGAAATGCTTGCATTGACACGCGCAGGGTGAGGACGTGAGCGTTTCATAGCATTGGGAGAAAGCTATCAGCTGGCACCGTAACGTCCTTTTCGGATGGCTCATCCATTTCATTGTTCTGATCCCCTGACAGCGTATTATGCAATGGCGGCAGGCTGGCCGGAACATGGATTTGTAAAGTTGCGGCAGTCCATTTCAATTATTTCTTCTCATGCGCGAGGGGTGCGGCTGTGTGCCGATGATGGCACCGTCGGAGGGCTGTAGCCTGACACTAAGACTTCGCTGTCGGCTAAAGGCTTCGATTTCAATCATGTGACCACAGATTTTCTTCAGATGACAGGGCGTTACTAAATGCGGGTGGAGGGCTTTATTCGTGGTCGTGGGCATTCCGCATACTTTTTTAAGACCCTTCAATCACGGTGCGACCTTGTGCACTCATTAGCGCAGCGGGAGGGCCATCAGCTGGCACTACAATTATCCTCGGCCGAATGCAGTCAGTTAAAGATAATTTGTTTTCCTCCCTTGAGTATACGAGTGTGTGTATCTGGCAGCACTGTGAGAGGGCTATCGCCTGGCACTTCCACTTTGTTGTCGGCCGACGGCACCGAGCTTGCTTCACCTCACCAACTGACAGCGTATGACTCAGCACTGGCGGGCTCGTCGGAGTGTGCATCTGCAAAGTTACGACTATCAAAAAAAAGTACTTGTTTTCAAGGCCTGAAGGGTGCGATCGTGTACATGTGATAGCACTGCCAGAGGCTATCCGTGGGCACCGTAACTTTGTTCTCGGCACACGTCGCCGCATTCACTCATATAACCTACTAAAACCGCATCTCTGAATGTTGCCTGCCGGCTTCGGATGTGGCGGCGAATCTACAACAGCTTTTAAAAATGCTTACAATTACCCAAGACGGTTGCTACTGCGTACATTTCATACCACTGCAGCAGGGCTACCAGCTGACACCGTAACTCACTGCCGGCCTACCGCATCCCCTTTATTCAGTGGACTGCCTAACAACGCATTACACCTTGCTGTTGAGCGGGCATTTGAAAGCCTTGTCAGTCAAATAAAAATTCATTTTTGGCTTTTCCAGAAGGCACGACCGTGTGCATGTCGTGACACTATGAGTGAGCTATTATTCGACACCATGACATCGCCGTTCTCTAGCTGCTTCCATTTTATTTGTGTGAATCCTTTACTGCGCATCACTCACAACTGGTATTCCGGTCAGAGTGGTGATTTGCAAATTTACGGCAACCAATGCAAACCATGCAGTTTCGCCCCCGAAGGGTGGAACCGTTTACATGGTATAGCAAAGTAGGAGGTTTATTGGTTGACAAGGCAACTTTGATGTCGGACACCGGCACCAATGCTATTCATATGACCAAATGACAGCGCAGTGCTGAATGCGGCCGGTCGGCCTGCACTGGGGTGGAGAACCGACAGCAGGCTTTTAAGAATAGCTGTTATTAGGTGGAGAGAGATACGAGAGTGCGGGGTGTTAGGTGGCATACAGCATCTGTATTTGACAGACTGCATCCACCTGGTTGGGTTGACCCCTTACCAGCCCATCACTCAGTGCCTGTGGGCTGGCTGGAGCGAGCATTTGCACAGCTACGGCAGTCGACAAAAATGATGATTGTCGCACGCAGAAGGTGTGACCATGTGCATAGATTTCCCCTGTAGGAGGGCGATCGGCTCCGTAGCTTTGTTGTCGGCCGACAGCGTCGATTTACACATGCAACCCGCTGACAGCGCACCACTCAATGTTGGCGGGCTAGCCATTGTTAGGTGATGCTTTGCCTCATCGAGTGATGATGCAGCGATGATTCGCCTGCCTTTTGAAAGTTGCAGCAGCCAATTAAAAATGCTCATTGTCGTGCGTGGATGGTGTGGCCATGTACATGTGATTTTGCCGTCTCAGGGCTATTTGGCTGCAAAATAACTCTGTTTTTGCCTTACGGCGCCGATTTGATTTATGTGACCCTGCGAGCGCATGACTTGTTAGATTTAAGGCAATGGATGCGCTCACCGCCTTCGGCTCAAGCCATATCCATCAATCGTGGCCGCAGGTATAACGAGTGCAGTGGACGTGTTAAGATGAAATAGGTCAGCAATGCATGGATTGTATCCTGCATATTATTATTTATAGGCAAGTGGTGTGCGTACAGGGGAGAAAGGAGCTGTGCTGAAGATCGTTCAGAGCACTTCACAGACCTGCCCCTTTTAAGGCCTAATACTCTCTGGTTTCTGAGCTTGACGGCCGCGAACTTGTGCAGGCTATTTCAAGATCATCCGGGCATGATGACGCCATAGAAACGTCATACGAATGCTGCGATCTCATTAGCCATGCATTGCTAAAGGCAACTGTCATTATCGAGTAATCTGTCTCTGGTGTGCGTCAGCACAATTACTAGCATCAACGGACTTAAGTTGGCCCTCAGCCAATACTCGGCTATGCAAACTCACATCATCCACACACCGCCACCTCTCGGCAAGTTGAATTACTACAAGTGAGTCAGCCCGTCCGCTACAGTGACGATTCTCACAGTCAGCCTGGCTGCGGCATGACGTAGTAAAGACCCCCATGACGTAATGAAGCGATGATGTATTGAGGAACGTATTTACCGAATAGTAAAACTATGTTGTCTGGAGTGGTTTTGAGCACCTAAAAGCAAACCAATAGCTACAAGCGGGCTGCATTCATCATAATTGATGATTGCCTCAATATCCTCAAATGTGGAACATTTCTTGAAAAGGGTGGGATGGGGGACTTAATAAGTGTACATCACGTCGATTTTGACTTCCTGCAGGGAGTCCTCTGTAATGAAAAAATGCGGGCCTGAGAGCGAGGAGGATCCTTTGGTGCGCCTCTAGCGCAGAGTGTGGACGATCACCAATTACGTAGTGGTCAGGCTACGCATTAAGGAAGCTAACTGTACGGGGTTCGATTCTCCGCGGTACCCGCTCTACCTGCCGGCGGAGAGGTAGGGGATATCATATTGCCTCAGCAGCTGAGTGCGTCGTTAAGGACCTAGTAAGTACCTAGTTTGGCACACCCATGACGATCCGTTTGTGTTCAGAGCGCAGGTGGTATGAATACCCACTGCACCGTATATGCCCGCCGCATGTGGCACGAGTCATCAGCCGATACGGTTATGTATAATGAACGGCAGGCATATTTCCTTACTTCAAAGAACATCAGGCCAGACGATGTTGCGGTTACAGAGAAACATGGTATTATTCAGTGGTCTCGTGCACAGCTCGAATCATTATTGCGGCGGCGGTGGCCAGGGTCATCGGTCCAGTTACAAAGTCTGCGTAACAAAGATCATCGATCGAATGTTGTGCTCAGATGACGGGGTCCAGTGCATACAGTTATGGGTCATTAACGCGATTGTGTTCACGAAATGTGTCCTCAGGCTATCGGCGTGTTGACAGGGCATGCCTCTGTTTGCAGGGAATGGGGTTGACAGGGAATGCCGTGCCCACGGGCAGACCCTAATCAGTCAAGTGGTTGCGTCCACAGGTCATGAGTCATAGGCTCATCGCTTATGTCTTGTCACTTTCACAAATAGCGGAAATGTTGATTTAGCATAGCTCACTTGCTCTCGCTCGTGGAGGTCCTGATGTGGCCAGAACTGAAGACCTCCCGAATACCTCCAGATTATCGCTTTATGTCACCACGGCGTAAGTTTGGCTGTCTACTTTTTTAGATACGCCGCTGCAGCTGAGCTGGAGCGCCACATTTGAGACTCAGCTGTTCGTTATGGTGTGCGGCGCGGCTGGCGGCTGGTCCCACCCCCTTTCCTTCTTCCTTTAAAATATTCTAATTTTTGATCACCCTTTGGCTCTCTGCATAGCTTTTTCAGCTTTCCACTCTTTGAACTTTCTGTTTGATTCCTGGTGAGTGTGTTGTTGCAAGAAATGTGATGGAGCGGCTGTACCTCCCGATGAATGTTGGTTTCTGTTCTACTTCTATTGTGTTTGTGTGCTCTGATTTGTAATTCATCATGAGAATGTTGTCTTAATGTTAAAACATGATTTGAGTTATATTTCTACACGCATTTATTGCAATGCTGGTATTAACTGCTGGATTTTTTGCTTGTGTTCATCCTGGGAGTTTGAATTGTTTATTTAGGCACCACAGTTCTGACTTTCAACCTATCATTATTTGCTGGCCAGGTTGCATGATATCATGACAGGGATCCTTACAAACACTGATTTCGGAAGGTATAAGGAGTGGCACTTTTGCCAGGTACAATAGCAGTGCTCTTGTCTAGGATGTTTTTGCTTTAAGTGATATTTATTGGTGGTTATTAGTGCTAATATTTAAAAATATTGATACTAGCCATTAACAGAACACCAAAGTGTCTTAAGTTTCATGACATTGTATAAGGTTGGGAGCTACATCTACCATTTGGTATGGTCAATTGAGGCATTGATTGTTGCTTGACCCGTCGGCTTACTGCTGCATTGTTCTGAAAGCTTGCATATTTATGATTGATAGAAAGGATTATTCAAGGACAATCTCCTTGTGACATGAAAAGTTGTTTTGATTTCATAACCATTTTGAGTATGGTAAAATATACTACACCATTGATTTTTCTATATTTACAAATACCACTGGCTCATTACTGCTGTTTTAATTTTGATGATGTACCACTTAATTTTGGATTAAAATATTATGCTTTGCATCAGTTATCAGTGTTTAAAATTTGCTATGCATATGTGAGACACTGCAGCCTTTGAGCCCCTTTGCAATTAGGCATTCCCAAATTGTATCCCATATCTGAGATATATTTGAAATGTTAAGTGATGACAGTGATCCAGTGGCATGGACTCAGTTAAACATAAGTTTGCCCTGCAGCATACCAGAGAATGTGAAATTGCCAAACTTATGTTTACTGATGAAGCCAGGGTCTTGTGATTGCAGCAATCAGCAGCATGTTTGTAGTCTACATGTGCTTGCCCTTGACCCAAAAGGTGGCAGCTTAGAGCCCTCCGAAAACAGGATTTTGATACAAGATGACACTTCTATTTAAGGGATTGATCTAGTTATATGTGTGGTTAAGTTATGTCAGTGGAATGGCTGCAACCTTAACCCTGATTGAGTGCTGTAACTGTCCTGTAACTCACTCGTGGTCCGGACATAACCAGTCGCAGCCGAAGCACGTTGGCAGGACGCTCGTCCCCCAGCATGCTTCTTTCCTTGCTCGCAGGGGACAGATATAAAAGACCAGCTTTTCACGGAGCTGAAGATGAAATTGTATGCTATCAGTTTTTATTGAGCCTGCTACCTCAATAAAAATTGTTTCATTACCTCGTGGGGAGCCATGGACTACTTTTTCTGGAGGAACCCAACTCCCTCGGCGTATTGGGTCAGAGTTTTCATGCGCAGTACGCTGTGAATTTTGCGAATTTCGAAGCGCACGATCCTGTTTCGCTGGTACAGTCCTTACTAAGCTGTGGCCATAATGAAAGGACGTGCGTTCGAAACCTGGCCGGTCCAGGACTTTCGTAGTCGTTCCCTATGGAATACGTTTAATGGTTTGCTAACAGGCGACACATGCTATCGTCGCCATTAAGTTATTTAATTCATTGAGGGCTTCTTGCAAAAATTCGGAACATAATACAAAATTAAAGTCGTAATGCATTCACTAGCGTACTATCCGCCGCGCTATCATCAGGTAAAGCACGCCAAATATGTAGTGAAAACTTAAGTTTGTACATCAATCTACAGTAAGTAGATTACTAGACTATTAGGAGCATTTACATTTAGTAGATTTCAGCATTATAATAAAATTCATGCCTTGGAGTTCTTTCCACCCGGTGTTGGGTGCCACGACCTGTAACCACTACCAGCAGACCTGGCGCAAAGCACAGGCAGCAGCCAACGGTGTCCCAGGTGGTCGAGATGGTCCATCGCCCTCGGGCCGCTGTCTGAGCCGCTGCCGCTGCTGGCCAGGTCCGCCCCAGCACCGCCAGCCGTCTGCCGCCATGTCCGGACCGCTGCGCCGCCGACTGGAGCTGCCGAGACCGGGCCGTGGCGGCGCCGGTCCGTCCCGCTCGGACCCGGCGCTGCCGTCGCCCATCACAGACCTGGCCGACAACCTGAGCGCCGCCTCCATCAGCGTCTCGCCCGGCCGGCGCACCTCGCACGGTACGGACGCTGCCGCAAACTCACGGCAATCGCACCCAAGTGACGCCATTGTTAGAGTTCTGCCTGCCCGCCGTTCTGCCTGCAACAATCAATAAGCACAACAGAATCATGCAAGTGCAAACTTCACCGTTGGTCTTCATCTGTAAATAATGCGTTTTTCCATAAAACACCAGTCTTGCCAGCAGATAGAAGGTAGAGGTGATGAACTGAGAAATAGTGCCACTTCATTCTGGTCATCAATGAAAGCAGTGCGCGTGTGACTGAGGCTCGCTATCGTTTTGCCTTCGGTCCACACTGGTGTGTTCCGCGAAAGGCGCTGTAACAGGCCCAGGAATCAACCACGCCTCGTGTTTATTTACGCGGCCAATGCGACCGTGATTGTGACCGCGCCAACGGCTGTCGACGGCCGTGGCCAGCTGGCGCGAGGTGTAGTGTAAACGGAGCCTTCCTGTGGGCGCGCATGTCCCAGCCAAGAAATATCTCCTTCTCTTGGAACTGTACCTGCTTTGCGTCAGCAAGGCTAGCAGTTGTGTCGAGAAGTACATGATTTACGGATGAAGGTCAAAAGTGAAGCCTGAAATAGAATGGGATCTGTCGAAGGAGATCTAAGGTGAACAGGAATCGAATCGTTCAAAGGAAAGATAGACTGTTAATCATAGTGTATTGGCTGGCTGATTGATTTTCTTTTCCCCGTTGTTCGTTTGTCTCTACTGATATCCTGGCCATGTAACATTCATTAGCTGCGAAGAAAATAGGGTGATGCCGAACTGCGTCAGCCAAAGGACTCGCTTTTAGTGATGACGGACCCCTGCCGTAGGGGCTGCCGTCTTCTTCGCAGCATGCTCAGTAGAGTTTTAACCTGCTAAGGCTTTCCTGGCCTCGTACCAAAGGACGGTGTTTATGCCACACAAATCCTGTACAGGACCGTCGTTATCCAACAGGATTCATTTTTTACCCCTGTCGGCTTATGTTGTTGGCCCGTGATGTATATATGCACTTTGGATTTTGAACCTTAACAGCTTTCGCTGGTGTTGGCGTTGCAACCGCAGTCCGTACTGAATTTCCCCTCACTCAATGTCGATATAATCAACAAGGCTCAACAAGCCACTGGTTTTTCGGGATAATCTTTTCGTGTGCTGAAAATAACCGATTTTCAACCAGCCTGGAGGCATGACCAAACGAGGATGTTAGGCAATCGTCGAGATGGGAGATCAAATACTTTTTTACTCGAGTATTGCATGGAAATGCGGAGGATTTATGACGAAAATGGCTGGATATTGCATAATAAACGGGTTCTGAACGTGGGTTAACGTAATATCACAATGATTCCTGATTATCGCTCACTTCGAGCCTGAAAATTCGTTTGGAACCTTGCAATCTTCAGAGCAAGTTGAATTGGTTCAGTTTCATAAACCGGAACTGTGAACCCATGACTTGCCTTCGAATCATGTTTGAGTTAACGTGTTAAAACAGCGTTTTTAAATGGATTTCTTCTCATCCTTGGAAACAACCCTTTTTGATGTGTCCAATTTTAAAATGGAATTAATGCACCGTACCATTTTCTTTTTTTCTGAAAGCTGACTGAGTGTATTCTAATAAACGTTTTCTTCATTAACAGATCCTGAACACCTGAAATATTGTTAATTTTGCATGCGGTGACTCTGTGGACTATAACTGTTGGAATAATACGTCACTCGGTGTGGGTCCCCCGAAGGACACGTGTTGATTGTGATTGCCTTTTTAGCACGGTTGTGCGAGCACAGCATCCAGAAATCACAACGCTCCACCGGTACGTTTTAACCATAAAGCGTTTACGGATCGTAAGGTAGCTTGAAAGGGGCCGTTTTGGGCCGTGGTGCAGTGGCGATGATGGCCAGCGACACGGCGCATTTGAAAAGTGTCTATGCGTTCGTAATTGGTGACATGTAGTCAACGCAGAGTGCTGAAATGGGAACCGATGACATTGAGTAACTGGGCTGTGAAGTCCCCCTCCCCCTGTCTCGACAAAATGGCATCGCGCTGTGGCTGCAATGGAAGCTGAAGCAGTGCAAGCACGGCGCCTCAGTGTGGTGGCGTTGGACCTGTGTTGTGGTCGCCGCTGGGGTATCAGTGTCGGTGCCGAGCCGGGCCCCGTATCGCTAACGTCCGTGTGTGTGTGTGTGCTGGTGCTGCAGGCTCGTCAGACGAGGCGGACACGCCAACAACGGCGGCCGTGCTCGGCAGTCGACCCCGGTCGCGCAGGTCAGTCCCCACCGGCTCCGCCGGGCCGCCGGCCGTGCTGTGCGGCGCAGTCTCGGTCCGAGGGGCCGGGCCGCTGCGGTGGTCACCGGCCGGCGGGCCTCAGCTGAGGCGGCGGCAGCAGCCCTGCAGCACGGCAGCGCTGCTGCCGCCGCCAGCGCAGCGGCACTCAGCAGCGACGCGCTCTGGCTGTGCTGGCGGACGATTCGTGGGGAGAAATGCTAATGGCTCATGGATAGAAGACCAAATTGTTTACCATCTATTTGTAAGGATGGCTGTTCCCTTGTGAATACTTAAGGCCAAGGATGTTATCGTGGCCACTGTTGACCAAGACAAAAGGAGCACACCTGCACGTTATCGATGACCGTGTATGGGAGTTATATACGTTCATCATAACTGGAGAATCGTTGACAATATTTCAGCACCACCCCCGATGCGCGCGTTGATAAAGATGCGATAATGTGATGTAATGCGTGCTGGCGAGGTCATTGATGGCTTGTAAACATACTGCTCCTTCGCATCCCCTCCTCAACACGTTATCAAAACCATCAGTCCCTGTCACTGGTGGAGCATTTTTTGACGGTTTTCGGTGCTCGGGCTCGCTTTTTCGTTTGGTGGCTTTCGTTTCGTATCAGCTTGTATCCATAGTCTCTGAGCAGATAGCTAAGGTTGCAAATGGTGCCCAATAGCCCGGTGCTCCTCTGTTGGTAAGATGTTGAAATGAAGTCACTGCCATGTGGGTGAAACTCAGAGGCTGGTTACGGATTCGCCTGCGCCAGCTCAAAACAGATGGCGATCGCGTTCAGACAGCGAATGTCGTATCAACATAAACTGTCATAATCAGCATGAGCGGTAATACCAACCGGTGCACGCGGCCTAAACGCCGCTAGACGGGCTAGGAAACCATAACAGTATGTATAATTGCGACTGTTGTTCGTTGCACGGTAGTAATGAACTGCTGGGAAGGCAGGCCCCGGACGGGCCGGCATCTGTGCTGTGACGCCTCCCCCCCCCCTTCCTGTCAAAGCAAGTTTGATGGCCAGTCCGGAGGTAAGCACCGGTATGGTCGTCTGGTCGTGGCACCGGCAGTGTGAGCAATAGGCAGTCACAGTGGTCCTGGACGAAGGCGGCGTCATCTATGCGTTTGCTTGGCTGTTATTGTCTCTGATGTCTCGAAAATTGCCAGTAATTTGCTCCGTCTGTTGGTGGCAGGGGTGGCGCCAGTGGGGAGTCTCATTTGTCCAGGTCGCGGGCGCACCGGCATCAGGAGCGGCAAGTTGTCTCGATTGGTCGTTCATCGCGCTGCTAATTGCGAACTGCGGAGGTATGAGGCACAATGGAGGGTTATTGCAGACGTCACACCCACGACAACCGCCCCGATCCGCGCGCTGCTGGGGCGAGTGTGTCCACCACCCGGTGCGCGTGTGTCCAACACCTGGCGCGCTAATGATGCTGCCTCCACCGGGCGTTGTCGAGACCCGCGATCGGCGCTGCCTCTGGTTGTTCGCCGGCTCTCCCCACCGGCGTCCCTGTCGCCATGGCGACCGTCCGAGACGTGGGCTGTATTCGCAGCGCATCAAGAATGTTCTTTTCTATGTGACGTCACTTAAAATATTTGCTGGACGTGTTCGTAGTGCGACACGTTTTCTGTGGACATCTGCGCGACTTGCGACAATAACTGCGCATTCGAAGACGCCAAGATTTGTGATTTTCGTGGTCCGGGTCCCTGCAAACACCAAAAGGCGCTGAGTATTTGGGATATAACTTCATCAGTGCCGTCGACGACATGGATTCCTTGTTGTCTGGGTCGCTGCGAATACACCCGTAATCTTTCGTTCCTCTCCGTGACCAAAGCGTCCATGACCGGACATTCCTCCAGCAGGGGGGGGGGGGGGGGAGTTTTGGTTGGGTTCTCTTCATGCTCAGTCAACTGCCTCGTGTTAAGTTTTGCTCAGTGTTGGGACTCGGCAACCGCCAAACCCGCCATTTTACGTGCCCATGGACGTGGCCTAGCAGTACTCGTGTCCCCCTCCCCCCGGCTGGGGCGCCTATGGTGGCTAACAATCGAACCGCGCGAGCGCGCCAGATGCCGCAGCGGCCCGACCCGTCGTTCCCGACCGTTCAAAGATGACGATTGATAAGTTCAGTTCATTCCGCCCGGCTGGATAGTCCACAGGGATGAGAGGTGTGACCTTGTAAGTGGTGATTGGAATCTCGTAAAATTACCTCTCGTCGGCCTTTGTAGCCAGTGTGGTGCTAAATGTCGGTGTCATCCATAACGGCTGGAAAGTCAGTTGGCGCCATCATTGTGGTGGGAACAAGCTGTTAATGAACACTCAATTCGCACGTGACGTGTTGAGCTGTATGGAATGTGAATCCGAGGCGTGGACGCGCGGCATCACCTCCGCACACAACGAAAGGCGAGGCCGACTGTTTCAGCGGACATCGCCCGCTACTAACGGCCGCCCCGTCTGCGCGTGAAATCGGCGTTCAGCGCTGTCTCTCTGCTGGAGCCTGTCCGCCGATGTCTCGGCTTGTTTTCGTGCAGACCGGCAGTGCCGGGTCCGGCCGCCGGCCACACGACCCCCGCTGCCGGCGTCTCCATTCAGCGGGGGTGCCCCGCGCCGGAAGCGCGAGGCCCGAGCCGGACCGTTACGATCGCTTTGTAAGCGGTGGCGGATCTGCGCTGCGACTAATCCGGCGGCGACCAGACCTGAATGGTCCCCGGCATTCCCGACGACGGCCGGTCACCGGCGGCGGCGCGGCGAGCCGTGCGGCGCCGGACCGCGGGTCGGTCCGCGGGTCGGTCCGCGGCGCCGGACCGCGGGTCAGCCCGCGGCCTCGGCGCGCCGCGGGCAGTGGCTCGTCCGCCCGGGTGTTTACTGATGGCGGTCGGTTCGGCCGTGCGCCGGTGGGTGGGCTTGACCCGCGGAGGTGTCTCGTCTGGTTTGTTCCGGTGCAAGGCTCGACGTCAGGAAGGTTGGGCGCGCTGGGCGCCTCAAGTGGCCATTGTAGTCGACGCGTCCTAAAACACAACTACACAAGGATGGACGCGCATTTGGAGATAAGGCAGGTGTTTGTCAAGTTCCTGGCAGTGACAGGACTGTGGTGGTCTGCATTTCACGGTACAAACGCTGAAAGGCTGAGTGCTGCCGACTCTTGACCCCGGGAGTACCGGGCCCTACGTTCGGCGCGGCGCACCGTAAAATCGGTACGGAACGTGTTTTTGCTCTGGAGACCCGAATTGGGTGCTATTAGTCTCCAACAATACGTTTGCCGTACTTTACTACTACGACAGCGACTTTTTACCATAGTGAAACCCACGATTCCGTAAACCATTGACTTTATTTGGGACGATGACTTTTGGGGAATGCCGCATTAGAACGTGTAGCCTCGTGCCTTTCGCCCGGGTCTCACCCCCTGCCGACACGTGGGAGGTTTGATCATGGTTCCAGGGCTGACCTGGTGGTGGGATGAGTGCTGGCGTCTCTGTATCATTCTGGCAGCTACAGCATGCCTGTGGGTGGCAGGAGATCAGAGCGCGTCACAATCTCACGCCAGCTGCACCCAAGCGAGTTGGAAACACGATGATCCCGGGAGGAGACGCGTGTTTGGGAGCTTATGCTTCTTTGCGAGTCTGGAGCCAGCTGGTTCCGTGTGACCCGGGCTCCCTCCGTCTGCTCTCCCTTGCCATGTCATAACTGTCCGCCGGGGCTCCGCGGACAAAGGTGCGCCGGAAATTTACACCGTGTCGTTATTTATCTGCGGCGATACAAATCTGCCGGGCGCTCGCAGGCATGCCGGGGTGTCCTTGATTCCGGGGCGGCGGCCCTCCCCCCGTCGTCCGTTGGACGGGGGCATTTACCCTGTCTGCGTGAGGCCACAATGGCGCAGGCCGGCCTGTCTGGGTCTGGTCCGCCCCGTCGTGTAACGGGACTCGGCCGGACGTCGGACCCGACAGCGCGAGCCCCTCGCTCAAGCCCGGCGGGGGCGCTGCAGGTGCCGGCGCGACCGAGCGCCTCGGTCACGGGCCGCCCCCGTGCTCTCCAGCCAGGCCGCGAAAGGTCACCGGCGCTGCTTGGGTGGCTGCTGGGGTGCCGGTGCCCTGGCCACCGCCGGAATCCCAGCTGAGGATGCTATTTGAATTTCCCGCCCTCTGGCGAGGTCCTTTAGGCAGCCTTAGGAATGCGAAGGCGGCACCAGGAGCGGTGCTGGGGAGGAGGGCTTCGCTTGTGTCTCAAGATGGGTCGGCCGTGTTTGTCCGAGCTGCGAGATCAAGCATGCTGTGCTCTTGGCCGGATAACATTTCCACCCGGTGTGTGCGGGGTGTGGAGATGGAAGTGTGTACCTGTGCTCGCCTCTGCGCGCCGGCCAGCCAGACACGCCGCTGCCAATGCACTCGACGGGCCGGCATATCCCATTCATTTTGGCAGATCACTTGGCCATCTGCTGCGAGACAACGCGGCCAACACTGGCGGGAGTCTAGCGACGACCGCCGACGGCACGAGCGCGGCGGGGGCCACCGCGGCAGAGACATCTGGCGGCGCGCGGCCACACTGCGCATGGGAAACAATGCGTCCGGCCGCTCCGCCGGCGGTAAAAACTCGTTTTACATAGCGGCGTGCGCGTAATGAAGGCGGCGCCCGTTGCGCGGCCGGCAGTCCTGTCTCGCGGGGCCAGGCTCTGGTTACGCGCGACCACCGGGCGCACTTCCTCGCGCCGGATCGGCGGCTCTGCCATCGGGACGGCCGCGGCTCCGGTTGCGCCGCCACGCACGCCGCCGCCAATTACGACGGCGGCGGCAAATTGGAGGATCGGGAGCAATTAATTCACGGCCGGTACTGGCCAGCTGGCCGGCCGGCCGCCGCCGTCGGTGGACTGGAAAGTGGCGCGCTGCGACGGCGGGCGGCGCGGCGGCGCTGGATGCGCGCGACCGAAGCCACCGGCATCCATTGCCGACTGAGTGGGACGAGGACAGGTCGAGAGGAGTGGCCGCTCACCAC